TAATATTTGTATGAAATTATTATATAAAATTTGGAAATAGTGGGTATACTGGAGAGCTGGGATTCAGAAAGTCTCTGAACAAATGCTAATCCCTTTTAAATCAGTTTGAAGGATGTATGGGAAGTTAAAAGTCTAACCTACCTATCTAGTCCATCATTTCTTCCTATGCTCAGATAGGTGAGGCCAAACTTTAACCATATTCCAATGTCTCTTGAACCAGGGAATCCCCTATCCTTGACTTACATGCTGAGTGAGTTAAAGGGAAAAGATGGCACCACAGGACCCCAGAAGTACCAGGGCAGCCTGACCTCAGTCCTCCACTTACAAGGAAAAGGCTGCCGCACATGGAAATTTCTCCCCAAGTTCCAGGGTAAATCCTCCCGTGGGCTGGGGAGGCTCACAGCTCTCTCCTCACACAGGGCTGAGGTCTCTGGGGAAGGCAGAGCCGTGGGCTAGAAGAAGATGAGACTGCTGGGTCTTCTCCTGTGCAACATAATGTTTTAAGAAAGAATGAGGTGAGACCTCTAATTCAAGCAAGGATGTTATGGAAAGCCTCTGAGAGGTAATGACTCCTGAGATGCATCTTGAACTCAAAATGGAGAAAGGAAACATTATGGACAAAAGAAAGGAAGGCTTGAAAAAGATATGGAAGCCTTGCTTGTGTTCTACAACATGACCTGCCTTGCTTTCTCCCACCTTCTTAAAATCTTCCTTAAATTCTCTCCTTAATTTTAAATGCATAAATGAAGATGCAACCTGCCATTCTGCAGAGCATTTGAGATTTTGCTTCCCAGAAATTGTCAGTTTAGCTCAAATCAACTCTTATAAAAATTCTCTACAGCCCTGGCTGGTTTGGCTCAACGGTTAGAGCGTCCACCTGCGGTCTGAAGAAACCCGGGTTCGGTTCCCGCTAAGGGCATGTACCTCGGTTGCAGTTTGTCCCCGGCCCTGGTTGGTCGTGCGGGTGGCAGCCACTCGATGTGTCCCTTTCACGTCGATGTTTCCCTCTCTCTCTCCCTCCCACTCTATCTGTACAAAAAATGGAAAAATGTCCTCGGGTGAGGATAAAAAAAAAAAAAAATTCTCTACAGGTTTGGATACTTTTTACATCAACAGCATGACCTTATATGTACACAATACTATAGAATGTATTTTTTAAATATTTTTATTGATTTTTAGAGAGGAGGGGAGTGGGAGAAGAAAGAGAAACATCAATGTGAGAGTGGAACATTGATCGCTGCCTCCTGCACACCCCCTACCGGGGATCCAGCCTGAAACTGGGCATGTTTCCTAACCCAGAATTGAACCAGCAACCTTTTGGTGCACTGGACGACCCCCAACCAACTGACCCACACCGGCCAGGGCCAGAATCTATTTTAAAACATACAACTATTAGAGCTAATAAATAAATTTGGCAAAGATGCTGGATATAAGAACAAATATCAGTGGTATTTCTATATGCTAATAATTTAAAATCTAAAAAGGAAATTAAGAAAGCAATTCTTATTACAACAGCATCAAAAAGAATAAAATAGGATCAAGGAGGTACAAGACTTGTACACTAACAACTAAAAAATACTGCTGAGCCCTGGCTGGTTTGGCTCAGCAGTTAGAGCGTCAGCCTGTGGACCAGGGAGTTCAATTCCCGCTAAAGGCACGTGCCACAGTTGCGGTTCATCCCCGTCCCAGTTGGGGTCATGTAGGTGGTAACCAATTGATGCGTCTCTCTCATGTCGATGTTTCTCCCTTTTTCTCCCTCTCTCCCTCCCACTCTATCTGAAGATAAATGCAAAAATATCCTCAGGTGAGGATTAAAAAAAAAAATACTGCTGAAAGAAATTAAAGAAGACCTAAGTAAATGGAAAGACATTCATGTTCATGGATTGAAAAATTTAACATTATTAAGATGTCAATATTTCTCAGATAGATCTATTGATTCAATGCAATCCCTATAAAAATCCCAATGGTCTTATTTTACAGAAATGGAAGAGCTGACCCTAATTGCAAGGTACCTGGAGTTGTTAACAGCAGAATTAGTCCTTAAGTTCAGCTAAGAAAGAATTCAGAGCCAAGATCTCTGGAGTAGGAAGTTTACTTAGAAAGTCAGAGAGGTAGAAGAAGTGAGCCAGCTGGGCTGCATGGACTCAAGAAACACATTACAGAGGCAAAAGAAGGGCCCTTGAGCTTAAGAGAAAGAAAGCAAAGATAAAGTACCTGCGAAAAGAAGAAGAGGAAAAGTCTGGGGGAAAGGCCCTGGTGTGCTCCGGGGTGGCGGGGGGTAGAAGGGGGATATGAGAGAATGAGAACACATATGCTCTGGGTCCTTCATCTTAAGGGGTTTTATCTGTTTTCCTAAAGTGAGGATTTTAGAGGAGTTCTCAGGGGAGGACCTCAGCTTTCTAAGTGTGTCCTTTCAGAGTTGTGGTCTCTACTGATTGGTTGGCACTAGTGTAGGAGGTCAATAGTTATTGTAGCTGGTCCTGATGCCAACCATGGCATCCTTCAACTGTTTTTGCTGCTTTTCTGGGCCTGGAACTGAAACACAACTGAGGCCTTAATGTTATCTCTGGTAAGACCAAACTCTGTCTCTGTGGTCAACAGACACCACCACCCCATCACCCCCCCCCCCCCCCCCCCCCCGCCCAAGGCTTTGTTCCTAAGACTATCTGATGCTGATCAGAACCTCATTGTCCTGGAGGCTTAATGTTTAAGGGAGTGGTAGTGCAAGGGCTCATATGGGAATCCTATGAGGCTATTCTCCAGCCCCCTTGCTCCTCCTCTAAGGGTGTCTGAATCACATAACAATGGATATGGAAGGTCAAGAGTTCTAAACTACATGACTAGCAACATACTAGGGGAGGAAAGATCACCCTGGGGGTAAGGTCCTAGCCTATAATACTTATTTTCCTGGTTTTGCCCATCGCTAGGCGACTTTCCGCCCTGGTGACATTCTATATTTGGCCTATCATTTCTGCTCTGCTTATGTCTGTCTTACTACCTACTCTATCAGAATAATCAAAACAGTCTTGAAAAAGAAGAACAAAGTTGGAGGACTCACACTTCCTGATTACAAAACCTACTACAAAGCTACAGTGATCAAAACACTATGGTACTGGCCATGGCCAGTGTGACTCAGTGGTTAAAGTGTTGCCTAAGTACCAAAGGTTCATGGGTTTGATTCCCAGTCAAGGGCATGTACCTGGGTTGCAGGTTAAATCCCCAGCCCAGTCTCAATAGATGCAGGAGGCAACCAATGGATGTGTCTCTCTCACATCGATGTTTCTCTGTTTTTCTCCACCTCCCTCCCTCCTTTCCACTCTCAAAGAAAAAAAAAAATCAATGGGGAATATATCCTTGGGTGTGAGGATTAAAAATAAATAAATAAATTTAATTTTAAAAATATTATAGTATTGGCATAACAATAGATCTTTACATGAATAGAACAGCATTTTTGAATCCAGAAATAAACCAATACATCTATGGTCAACTGATTTTTGACAAGGTAAGAATCCTCTTTATCAAATGGTGCTGGGCGAAGGAAGGAAGGAAGGAAGGTTGGTTGGTTCATATAAGAGCCAAAGAAAAGTCTTTGCCTAAATGAATCAAAGTAACTCCTTAGTGCAGGCTTCAACAGACAGGATTTCTGGAGCACTGGTTTGAAAGTAGAACTCACCACAGCCTTTCAGAATCAATCACTGAACAGAAGATGAGTTCAAAAGATTCAGGAGGTGCCTTTACCTGGGTGGGTATGGCAGGGATTTGTAGGTGCGGCCCAATCTCATTTTGAATCCTGGCATTGAAAACTGTCAAGTAAAAAACAAATCTGGATTTAGACAAATGAGACTTTAAAAAATTATTGCAAATAAGGAAAGAGACACTCTATTGCAATAAGGTAGAAGGGCAATTACAGTAGGGGAAATACTCAACTGTCCAAAACAAAACAAAACAAAACACCTAGCTTTAAGTAAAGAGAGGCTTTATTGTAGGAGATTATTCCAAGAAGAAAGGAACTATTGCAATGGGGAATGTGGTGTGAGGAGGTGACTGTTGCCATAGGGAACTCACTGACTATGCAGCACACGATCTGCAACTGTCTCCAAGGTCAGTTGGGCTTTTCTTTTACAGGACACAGGGAACAAAGGCTAGAAAGAACGGGCTCTGGGGAAGGGGGATGAACCTGTAGAGGTGGCAGCGATCACACAGCAGATCAAAGAATGTTTTACAGTGAAATCAGTCTCTTTTTTCAGGAGTGGTGGATAAGAAGGGGTTGTATGCTGGCTCAGGTTGAGGGTGGATCAAAGTTTAGGAGGCTGGAGGAAGGAGAGAAGCTTAACAAAAGTTTGATCAAGTCAAGGTGGCCGGTATTTTGCCCATGTTGGTCAGTGAGTACAATCAATTCAGCTAATCATGTATGAGGCAAAAATGGGAATTTGAAGGGTCTGTGTCTGACCTTGTCATAGGTAAACAAAAGGCCATCCAGGAGTCACATCTAAATCACATGGGAAAAGTGGTTCCTTGCTGTAAACCTTTTCAAGAACACAAAGAGGTGCGGAGGGATCCTTTTAACCGTCGCTTTCCAGAATCTCGGGGTTCAAGTCCAAGTTCAACACTGTCAGCATGCGGGGACATCTCTCCAACGCTTCGATCAAAGGCTGAAGAGGTACAGCGAGAAGGAGACGCTGGGTTCTCGGGCGAGCCCACACCTAGCTCCCTGCTTCTTCGCGCAGGGGTGAAGTGGCATCTAGCCGCCAAGCCGGGAGCAGGAAGCTGGTGGCCGCCATGAAGCTCGTAACTCGGAGGCCAGACGCGACCGCCGCCGCCAGCCCCGCCCCCGCGCGCGCTCTCGGGTCTGCGCAGCGCCGGCCACAGCGCGCGCCCGGCGGCGGTCGCGGAGGGAGGCGGGCTGGGTCCCGGAGGCGGGCTGGGTCCCGGAGGCGCGGCCCGCGAGCCTGAGAGGGTCTGGACTGCGGTGCTGCGGCTCTGAGGAGCTCCAGTCCGGCGGCCGCAGCGCCCGTGGCCCCTACGCGAACTGAGGACGAGGCCGGGAGGGGACAGCGCGGCGCGTCCCCCTCCAGCGGCCACGCCCGGAGGTGAGTTTCCTGGGGCCGCGCGGCGTTCGGCGCGGAGCGAGGCTGGGCTGCCGGCTCGCAGCCGGGCAGGGGCCGGCGTTTCCCGGGCAGGGCGGTGGGGATCGCTGGGTCCCCCGGTGCTGCCGCGCTTGTCTTTGTCTGGGTGAGCCCGGTTCCCGCTAGGTTTCGGCCCCCGCGTCTGCGATCCCGAAGGGCGCCATCGGGCGGCGGCGGGGCGAGACTCGCCCAGCCCAGGTGAGCCGGGCTGTGGGCTGCTGACTGCTTGCTTCCCGAGTGCGAACTCCGTAAAAAAGCATCAGTTGGTTTTCTCGTTCCGAAAAGACTCAGAAACTTCGAGTTATGTGCTGTCAAAATGTCCCGATTTCCAAAGGCATCGCTGCAAAAGTACAGTACAGAAATGCAAGGCAGGTCTGTTGTGGATTGACGTTTCTTAGTTAACTTCGTTACCAGTCTCCCACAACTCACTTTATTTTGAAGGTTTGGTGTTCGCTGTTTTCATGCTTAATTTTTTTTTTTATGTGTGTCTTTTTCTTTTTACTCGCAATTTGTTGCTTCTCAGCAATAATGAATGTCAGTGTGGTGTTCAGTGTTGGTTCCTTGGTATGTAATCCGAGATCATTGCAAATAAAGATGGGAAACTTACAGTGTGTATTGATGTCAGTGTGAAACTGTGAAGTGTGATTGTGACATGAAAATCAACTTCCTTATTTCATAGTCATGGCTCAAGTATGTTTGGGGAGTGTTTATAAGTTTTTAAATTATAGTTTAGTTTTAGTGGGATAAACTTTAAAATTCATGTTGTCTTCTAAATATGCTGAAAGTCGCATTGACTTAATATGCGATTTAATTCAGTGAATATCGAGCATCTATGTAAAACAGTAACGTTAGTGCTAGGCACTGGTGGGATCCAAAAATGAGTGAGAATTGTGTGCAGGATGGAGGGAATGATTAAACACACAAATGATAATGATATAGGCAGAATACAGTACCAACAGACACTACTAATTATTGACCACTGACTGACTCCTAGCCCTGTACCTGTGGTAAATACTTTACATGTATACTTTAATTGCTTAGTACTTAATGTTAATTACTTAATAACTTATCATTCAATTTTTTTTAGTATCTATTGTGTGCTGAATGCTAATGACATTGATATAGTAGGCAGTTAGACATGAACAGAGTAGGAACCATAGACCAGGTACAGAAAGTCTCACCATGTTGGAAAACCCTGTGTGCCTAGCAATGGGCAAAACTGGGAAAACAAGTATTGTAGGGTGGGACCTTGCCCCCCCGGTTGACCCTTCCCCCTCTGGCACAGTCTCTAGTCTTGTGGTAGACCCCTTAGAGGAGGAACAAGGAGGCTGGAGAATAGCTTCGTAGGACTCCCATACAAGACCTTGCACTACCACTCTCTTAAGCATTAAGCCTCCAGGACAATGAGGTTCAAATAATCAGCATCAAATAATCTTAGGAACAAAGCCTGGACCGCAAAGACAGTGTTTTGGTCAAACTAGAGATAACATTAAGACCTCAGTTGTGTTTCAGCTTCAGGCCCAGAAAAGCAGATGAAGCAATGCAGTGGCTGACATCAGGACCAGCTACAGTGACTAATGACCTCCTACCCTATTGCTGACCAATCAGTAGAAACCCCAACCCTGAAAGGATATTTCTTGAAAGTTGAATTTCTATTGAGTTCTTCCCCTGAGACCTCCCCTACAACCCCCACCTTTGGAAAACAGATAAAACCCCCTAAGATGAAGGACTTAGAGCCCTCAAACACCCTCCCTCTTTCCCCCTTCTCCATCTCCTCTCCTCCTCTCCTCCTCTTCCCCCTTCCTCTTTTCCTCTCCCTTCTCCCCCTCTTCCCTTCCCCTCCCCTCTTCTTCTTTCTCAGTCCCAAAGGAGGGAAGAAAGTCCAGGCAAAAGAAATATGTTCCACAGAGGCTTGGGAAGATTTTGAGAATTGAAAGGTCAGAGCAATTGGATTGAATGTAGAAAGAAAAATGGGGCTGTCCTTAGGGCCAGAGAGATGATTTAGGGCCGCTTAAGCAATGTTAAGGATTTGCGACCAATTTTTTTTTTCTTTAAACTTTTATAGAGAACTTTTCAAATCACTCAAATATAGTGAGAGAATAGTACAGTGAACTCCCTTGTAATTTTATCCAAAAGATTGGGACTTTATTCAAAGGACAGTGGGATGTTTTTGAAGGGTTTTAAGCAGGAAAGTTCCACAATCAAATTTGTATCTTAATAAATTTCTACACATCTTTGTAGAAATCATATTGGATGTGGATATGAACGGAAACCAGCTAGAGATGATGGTTAATAGCTGTGAAGATAAGGCAAATTCTAAGGGTATATAATTGATCTCTTCTTGCCATGTTAGTAAATCTGTATTCAAACCTTTTGGAGAAATCATAGCAGATTTTCTAAAAGAGATTATATTTGAGATGAGTTTTGCAAGGTAGATAACATTTCAAGAACCCTAGAATGAGACTGTCTTGGTGTCAAAGGATGGCTGACAAGGTGAGCTTGATGATCCCTGCTGAAGTTTTGCCTTTCAGAATTTTTAAAAAATATGTTTTATTGATTTTTACAGAGAGCAGAAGGGAGAGGGAGAGAGATAGAAACATCAATGAGAGAGAAACATTGATAGGCTGCCTCCTGCATGCCCCTCACTGGGAATCAAGCCCAAAACCCAGGCATGGAACCCATGACCCCTTGGTGCACGGGCCAATGCTCAACCACTGACCCACACTGTCTGGGCCAGGATTTTCTCATCTAAATTACTTTTGTCACTATCACCTTGGTCCTTAGGTGCATATAACTCACACATTAACAATTCTCTCTAGAAGACACAAATGTATTTTCTTTTTTACATAGATTACAGACAGTTAAGATAAGCTGAAACTTTCCAAAAGGTTTTATATTTTTATTACTTAATAGTTAGTAAACTATAATTCATAAAATATACAAATAAACTGTCTTAAAGTGTCTGATTCTGATGCTACCATAATTTGCTCTTGGAGAACTAAGTGAAGAAACTCCACATAGAAATGTGATCCATTGGTTTCTTTTCCCTTGTGTGTAATGCCAGGAATGGCTTTACCCTTAAGGATAAAGATAGCATACTCAGCGATATAATATCTTGATACAAAATCTTATCTTTCAAAAATGTAGCCTCTTTTATCTATATAAAAATAAATAAAATTGGTAATAATGCAAATGTTTTCTTTTCGAAGAGTAATGCATACATTGAAAAGACTAAATCTCGCTTTTTTTAATTTAATCCTCACCCAAGGATATGTTTATTGATTTGAGAGAGAGAAACATCTATGTGAGAAACATCAATTCGGTTGCCTCCCCTTCCCACCCCCCCAATCAGGGATCGAACCTGAAACCTTTTGCTGTATAGGATGGCACTCCAACCAACTGAGCCACACTGGCCAGGGCACTAAATCTGTTTTGGCTGGATTTTCTTTTTAGTGGCTATGTTCCAAAAGCTCAGTCTACTCTGTCTCCTGACTGATTTTATCACTGCAGTTGTTGGGAGTAAGTGGGATAATATTTGGGAAAGTGTTTGGTAAACTGTGATATACAATACAAATGTAAGATGGTAGTGGTACTAATTGAAAGTAAGCTGAAGTAAAATGAAGAAATTGTTCATCTGCCCATTCTGAGGCCCACTTCATGCTCACAACTTAGATATTTGTCAGATGGCTTTTTATTCTCCACTGTACAGTACATGATTTAGGTTCATTCGTGTTACGTGACTGTGATAATTGTGGAAGCTCACTCAGTGGATATAAATAAAGTTTACATGGTTTGAAAATTATGTAGCCAGTTTTCTAGTACAAGTCCATTTGAAACCAAGATCTCTTCATTCTCTTTTGCTGTCATAAAACAAGCAAAACAGTGTAGCAGTAGCCTATAACTAGGAGATGATGAATAATATTAGTAATTTGCTAGAGAACAATAACCTGCTAATGGGAAACATAGTAAAGTACTTACGGATGGTTACTCTTTGCTTTGCACTCTCTCCGTATGCTTGTGGAAGAAACAGGAAGTGTGTAAGTCATGAGACCTGTCCTCAAGGATCTGGATTCAGCAGAGAGACCAAAAGACACAACAGAAACAACAGTAAACAATATCAGACAATATGATTTAAATGAAAAAAAACTAAATGCTTTAGGAGAGGAGTATTAATGAGGGTTTATTATTTCACCTTTTTGGTAGAAGTAGATCTTGGGTTGGGACTTCGAAGGGTGATTAAGATTTTAATGCCTTATATAAGGATAGTTACAATGTGAGCCAAGTAGTGGAATGAATATGTTATGTTTACAATACAATAAAGATTATATCTAAACTAATGGATTATTTTAGAGTAGTTAAAAATAATGTTGGAACACTGTCAAGTGAAAAAACAAACAGCACCACCAAAATGGAATGTCCTCGAGGGTTGGGATCTTTGTCTATTTGTTCAGTATGTATCCCAAGCACCTAGAATCATGTCTGGGTTACAGTAGTTGCTGAATATACATTTTTAATATTTTAAAAACTTTACTTAGGTATAATTTATATGCAGTAAGATGCACATATTTAAGACATACCATTTAAGAAATATTTTAGTATGAAATATTTTCATTTTAAATATTTTTATTTAAATATTAAATACAATTTAAATATATACTATTTAAAATATTAAATAGTATTCAACTTTTTCTATAATATATGTATATATTTTTTAATCCCCACCCGAGGATATTTTTCTATATATCATCAGATAGAGTGGGAGGGAGGGAGAGAGAGAAACATTTGATGTGAGAGAAACACATCAACTGTTGCCTCCCGCACTGCAACTCAGGTACATGCCTTTGACCAGAATCGAATTCGGGACTCACTGGTCTGAAGGCTGCTGCTCTAACCACTGAGCAAAACCAGCCAGGGCTGTGTCTATAATGTTTTATTTCTTAAATAAAGAAAAAGAAAGTCCAGCCAGTGTGGTTCAGTGGTTGAGCATCGACCCATGCACCAAGAGGTCGCAGATTTGATTCCCAGTCAGGACACATGCCCAGGTTGTGGGCCCGATCCCCAGTGGGGAACATGCAGGAGGTGGCCAATTGATGTTCTCTCATCGATGTTTCTAACTCTCTCTCCCTCTCACTTCCTCTCTCTGTAAAATCAATAAAGGAAAAAAAATTATTTTTTAAATAAATTTTTTAAAAAATAAAAAGTAAGTCAAAATATAAATTTTTCTGAATAGGAAGGGTAGTGATGGGTGTTTATATTTTTCTCTATTCTTTTGTGTATGTTTGAAAGGGAAGCAATTTTTTAAAGGAAGCAATGAAATAGTTTTAGAAATGATGAGATTTGAAAGATAAAGTCTTAGAAGAAAAGATTAGTGAACATGAAACTCTGGTTTTCTGAATATATTTTTTATTTGTTTTCTGGTTTTTAAAACTTGTTATCAAAGTAACATATTTACATAGTTTAAAGGGATAGTGTGGCTTTAGTGACTCCTACCTTACCCTCTAGCCAAAAGGTAGAGTCTGAAATTATTGTTGGGGGTGCTGCTGAAGGTGCTGTCCCCATCTGTGTTCCTACTCATTCCTCTGCCCCTTTGAATTTCCTCTTTCCTTCTGTCAGTTTCATGTGGTTTTTCAGAATTGCTCACAATCTTCTCATGAATGGGTTAAGAAATAAATTCACTATCAGTTTATATTCAATCTATAACGAAAACAAGGTATTTAAGACAATTTTCAAGAATAGGATATTTTCCAGAGCAGACTCCACTGTTCTACTTTAATTCCTAGCAAAACAGAGGCTACATGGGAATTAGTTCTCCAGCCAAATTGGTGGTGGCGGTGGGCCCAGCTCCATTTGCAGTAGGAAACTGGAATGGAAGTCAGGACCTAACAGCAGGCAGACTCATTTCCTCCTGCACTGGAGCCTCAGTTACCCAAGTTAACTTTACCTCCAGATCCTTTGGAGACGGCTAAGTGGGGCCAGTAGATTACTCTAGTGCCCGTTTTCTTTCTGGTTCTCATTGCTTTGGGATGGGTCTGGTGGACCTTCAGTGGCGATGACTGACATCTGCTTTCTATTTAAGTATGCTTTAAATTTACCTTTTCTTTTTTTTTTTTTTTTTGTTAATTCTCACCCAAAGATATTTTCCATTGAGTTTTTTTTTTTCTTCTTAGAAGAAGAGAGACAGGGTGAAGGGAGAAAAACATTGATGCAAGAGAGAAACATCCATCGGTTGCCTCTCCTGCCCCCCAACCAGGGATCTAACCTGCAACCTAGGTATGTGCCATGACCAGGAATGAAACCCTCAACCTTTGGGTGTATGGGATGACGCTCCAGCCAACTGAGCAACCCAGCCAGGGCTTAAAACTTACATTTTAAAGTAGCAGTGTTGTATTTGCTTTTTGTACATGTACTCTCCAGAGAGAATTTAAGAAACATTCTTTACTTTTTTCTTTATTGATTTTTAGACAGAGAGGAAAGGAGAGAGAGAGAGATAGAAACATTGATGAGAGAGAACATCGATTGGCCACCTCCTGCATGCCCCCCACTAGTGATCAGGCCCACAACCCGGGCATGTGCCCTGACCGGGAATTGAACCAGAGACCTCTTGGTTCATGGGTCGATGCTCAACCACTAAGCCACACTGGCTGGGCTAAGAAACATTCTTATTTGATATGGTCTCTTTGAGAGGTGAAATATTTTTAATGCTTTGTAGTACTCTAGCTTGATTATGTCTCCTTTTTGGGTAAAGTGTTTTTCTTTAGTTTTAAATCTGTATTGTAGTCTCTGGGACCATGATATCATAAACAATCTGTCATAATCTAATAATAACATAGTCTTAACTATATTGTTTAAGCACATATAAAAAGAAGTTGTAATCTGGTTTGGGGTGACTTTTAAAAGTGTAGTCATGAATTGAAACTAACTTATATAGCTTTATTGAAACATTGCACTCTAGTATTTTTTAAAGTTTATGTAATTTTAAAACATTAAAAAGTCATTGATTTCGCCCTGGCCAGTTTGGCTCAGCGGTTAGAGCGTCAACCTGCGGTCCGGAGAGGCCCGGGTTCGGTTGCCGCTAAGGGCATGTACCTTGGTTGCAGTTTGTCCCCGGCCCTGGTTGGTCGTGCAGGTGGCAGCCACTCGATGTGTCCCTTTCACGTCGATGTTTCCCTCTCTCTCTCTTCCTCTCTCTCCCTCCCACTCTGTCTGTGCAAAAAATGGAAAAATGTCCTCGGGTGAGGATAAAAAAAAAAAAGTCATTGATTTCTTTTTCTTTTTCTCCATAATCAATGTTGTTGTGTTTTCCTTAGTTAAATAACCAGACATTCCAGATTAGATAAAACAGACTTGATTTTTCCTAACTTGATTTGCAAGCCAAGGAACAGTTCAGCTGTCCTCTAGCTTTTTGCCTGGAGGCTATTAGTCTCAGTTATCTGATGAGCCTCAACTGAATGAAAAAAATCCCTCGGCTATAAGAGGATTTCCAGCGGGTGGGGCGTTTGCTCCCTATCAGACTTTAGATGTTAATGAGCCTCAATTTGCATTTCTATGGCCTGGTGGTGTTGAATTCCTGCTGGAGGGACCAGGAGGGGGCAATGGCTACTGTCCCTGTCCCATGAGGGAGTGATTCAGTACAAGACTCCTGGTGCCCTCCCATCCAGCTATCAGCTCTCTCCTGAGCCAGGAGCCCCCGACTCTCTCCACAGAGTTCCAGCCCAGTGTGCCCTCCGTTTGCTGGAGCCCAAGGTGAAAGGCTGTAGTTGATTTGGGGCTTTTAAAAACCCACTTTCTCAGCGGGAAGCGCACACCGCTGATACAGCCCTCGTTGCTGTTCCAGGGCTCCCAGCCCGCCCCCACATGCCTCCGCAGTTCCTACCAGGCTCAGTTTGGTGACCTCTCTGTCCAGCTGCTCTTCAGTTGTGTTTCTCCAATGATTTGTCTTTATTTTAGTAGTAATTTCAGTTTGGTCCCAGGAGATGGTCTGTGTAGCTTCCATACACTGCCACCATCTGTGTTCTCGATTTTTCCTAACTTGACTTTTGACAACTGACAACTTTAATTTTGCAGTAGGCAGGCAGTTCATAACTATTGTCTGTGTTTGACTTCATGTAGCATGTTTGTGTGTTGCTACTCTTTATAAAAGGAAGAGATGGACATGAATATAGATATTTGTTTATATTAGAAAAAATAAGGCTACCCAGAAGTTGGGAGAGAGAGGACAGGGTGGGAAGGGCAAGAATGGAAGCTGGATTTCTCTGAATATATCTTGTTTTTTAGGTTAACTTTGACTTTTTTCTTTTCTTTTAAGAGAGAAAGGAATGGAGAGAGAGAGAAACATCCATGTGAGAGAAAACATCCATCGGCTGCCTCCCAAACACCCACTACTGGGGATTGAGCCCTGACCCAGGCATGTTCCCTGACCCAGAATTGAACCAGCACCTCTCAGTCCATGGGATGACACTCAGTCCACTGAGCCACATAGGCCAGGCTAGGTCAACTTTGGAACCATATAAATATTTTACACTCTTAAGAGACAAATGAACTGAATTGACTGTCAAGTAGGTGGCAACGCCACACAGGAATTATTTCAAGTAATTTAAAACAGTAATTTTATTGTGTATCCTAGTAATAGCTTGGAGTTTGGTCACTTGTTCTTAAGACCCTTTAAGTGTTACTTTAGGGACATAATAACTTATGTGAAAGAATATGGATGCATGCATAAGAATGAATTCATCTAAAATGCTAAATTTGCAACTTTAGCTTTTGTTTATGTTTATCTTTACAGTAAGGCAGAAAAGAATGAAAGAAGTAGATAATCTTGAAAGTATAAAAGAAGAATGGTAAGTTAATTCAATCTATGAACTTTCTTTGTTATTAATGCCTTTGTTAGTATCTTTTTCTATTTGTGCTGCATTTCATTTTTGTCTCTCTCCCTCTCCCTTCCTCTCTCTCAAATCAATAAAGAAATAATAATAAACATTGTTGGGACAGTTTATGTGACAATTGCCAAAAAGTATTTTTAAGAATTTAAGTAAAATAAACACATTCTTCTTTGGTTAAAAAAAATTGTTAAATTTTTTCTCTTTTTGCATATTACTTTTGTTATATAAGTGAGAAATTCAAGTAACTGCTTCATTGGCCTCTTGTGTTGGAGTCAGAGTGGAAATATAATGACTTTGGAGTCCGATAATCCTAGGTTTGAATACCGTCTTTCTTAGACTACCTCTCTGGTCTTGAACAGATTAATTGAGCTTCAGGATCTCGTCTGTAACCCGCGGCTATACCCGAAAGACCTGGGGGAGAATTAGGTATCAGTGTAAAGCACTTAGCATAGGATTAGCATGTAGAAGGCACTCAGTAAGTGGCAAATGCAAAATCTATGGTTCTTATCGATATAGAATATTTTAGTCTCACTTATCTGAGGTGAAATATATTTTGTATTATGCCCTTTGTTTTAAGTCCTCGAGGTAATTTTTTTCATTGTAGTTCATTTACGGAGACAAAAGAGTATGTATTTCACACTTACAAATACTTTGAAAATGCTTCTATACCAAACAAACATTTGTTTTTGTTTTGCTTTTTTGCCAGAGTGTTTGTTGTTTTATTTATATTTGATCCTAACTATGTAATTGTGAGATTGTGGCAGGGCTCTCTAGGGCCAGCCCCGGGTTTGCTGGCTGGCTGGAGGGTTCACAGCATAGAGTCCTGCCATGATGTATTATAATGGAAGGATACAAAGCAAAATCAGCAAAGGGAAAATGTGCTGGGGCAAAGTACAGGGTAAACTTAACATAAGTTTCCAAGAGTCCTCACCCAGTGGAGTCACCTGGGACACACTTAATTCCCCCAGAAATAAGTTATGACAGCCCATGTGAAATGATACCTTCCCGGAAAGGTCATTGAAAATGAGCCTCGGCTTTTTCTTGGGGGCTAGTCACATACTGAAATTGCAGACTCTCTTAAGGATAGTAAGCAGGGCTTTCAAAGGGTAGCAGCCATGCCTGCTACGTTAACTTTTCTACACAGACGTAAATTGAGTGACTGATTGAAAAGACTAAAATTAACTTAGGACTTTTTCAAAACTACTTTATTGAGACCTGATTCACATACCATATAACTTATGCATTTAAAGCATTCAATTCATTGATGTTTACTACATCACAAAGTTATGTAACTATCACCGCAGTCAATTTTATAACATTTACATCACCCCAAATGAAACCCCATGCCCACTAGCAGTCACAGCCCATTCTCCTACACCCTGTCCCTGAAAACCACTAACACACTTTCTCTCTCTCTAGATTTGCCTGCTCTAGGCATTTCATATAAAGGGAATCATATAATATGTGTTCCTTTGTGACTGCCTTCTTTCATTTAGCATACTGTTTTTAAGCTTCATCTTTGCTGTAGCATGTATCAGTATTTGGAATTTAATTAAATAATTAGTAAGGTGTCTACACGAAAATAGTAGCAATAGAGTGTATCATTTTCTTTGTAACAAAAATAGATTTTGTTAGAAACAGCAGTCCAGTAAAAACTGAAAATGATTTTCTAAGGGTATAAGTTAGTTGCTCAAAGACTATAAATGGTGAGGGTCCATATTTGCCATGTGTGCTTCCGAAGCATACTCAGACACAAATCCTGCGCCGAATGAATAGCAGCCAGTTGATAATCTTGTTTATGCAGAACATAGTAGTGAATGAGAAAGTGAGCAAAAGAGGCTGTTCTGTAGCCAGAATAGATGTTTCAGAGTCCCTTTCTTTTTCTTTTTCTTTTTTTTTTTTAAATCCTTACCTGAGGATATTTTTTTTTATCCTCATCCAAAGACATTTTTTCTTTTTCTTTTTTTTTTGTTCAGATAGAGTGAGAGGGAGAAAGAGGAAGAGAGAGAGAGAGAGAGAACATCAACGTGAACGGGACACATCGAGTGGCTGCCACCTGCACGACCCAATCAGGGCTTGGGACAGACTGCAACCAAGGTACATGCCCTTAGCGGGAACTGAACTGGCGTCTCTCAGGACCACAGGCCGACGCTCTAACCGCTGAGCCAAACCTGCCAGGGCTCACGCGAGGATATTTTTACATTTATCTTCAGACAGAGTGGGAAGGAGAGAGAGAGAAACATCAAAGTGAGAGAGAGACATCGACTGACTAGTCACCACCTACAAACCCCAACTAGGGCTGGGGACGAACTGCAACCAAGGTATGTGCCCTTGGCCGGAATTGAACCTGGGACTCTTTGGTCCACAGGCCAATGCTCTAACTGCTGAGCCAAACCAGCCAGAGCCAAAGTCCCTTTCTTGAAACTTGTGTGCTTTTTGTCATTAGAGAAACTCCTGAGACGTCAAGACTATTTACTTACTCATAACAACTTTGGTAATCTGATTTCCAAATTATGAAGAGGAGTGTTGATATTCGAATCAGAAAATGGTAGTGACAAGTAAGGAAAAGGATGACAGAGTAGTAAACAAAGATGAAATAATAAAGTTCTCCAGATTATTTAGTATTACAGCAAGTCCACATGCATCTGATGTCCGTAGGATTTTGCTATATTATAGCTTAATATGGTAAAATATAAAGGGGTTTTCTGAATTATAAAGAAATATTAAATTAGCCCTGGCCAGTTACAGCATCAGCCAGCGGTCCAGAGAGACCTGGGTTCGGTTCTCACTAAGGGCACGTACCTCAGTTGCAGTTTGTCCCTGTCCCTGGTTGGGTTGTGCGGGTGGCAGCCACTCGATGTATCCCTTTCATGTTGATATTTCTCTCACTCTCTCTCTTCCTCTTTCTTTCTCCCACTCTATCTGAACAAAAAATGGAAACATGTCCTCGGGTAAGGATTAAAAAAAAAAAATTGAGCAGAAGATACACAGTTGCCATATCCCTATCCACCACCCCCACACACAGAGTTTCCTCTATTATTAACATTTTATATTAGTGTGGCATATTTGTTACAATTGGAAACCAATGTTGACACATTATTATTAACAGTAGTTTACATTGGGTTCACTCTTTGGGTTGTATAGTTTTGTGGAGTATGACAGATTGTGCTAATGTGTATAGAGTTGTGTTCTTAATTCTATATACCGATTGTTAATTACTGGTGTATGGGGAAGCACTTGCTTTTTGTATGTTAATCCTATGTCCTGCAACTTTGTTATAATTGTTTATTAGTCCCAGGAGATTTTTGTTGTTGATTCTTTGGAATTTTCTATATAGACAGTCACATCATCAGCAAACAAAGATAGTTTTATTTCTTCCTTCTTGCTTTACGTACTTTTTATTTCCTTTTCTTGTCTTACTGGTTTAGCTAGGATTTCCAGTATGGCATTCAAGAGGAGTGGTGAGAAGGGACATCTTCTTCTTGTTCCTGATCTAAGGGGGAAAGCATCTAGTTTCTCACCATTAAATATAATATTAGCTGCAGGTTTTTTATAGATAGTCTTTGTCAAGTTGAGGAAGTTCCTCTCTATTCCTACTTTGCTAAGAGTTTTTTATCATGGGTGTTGGACTTTGTCAAATGTTTTTTTCTGCATGTGTTAGTAAGATCATATGATTTTTCTTCTTTAGTTTATTGATATGATGAATTGCATTAATTGGTTTTTAAATGTTGAACCTGCCTTGCATACTTGGTATAAATCCTACTTAGTTGTGGTGGATTCTTTTAACATATTGTTGGATTTGAAATGCTAATATTTTGTTATCTATGCTCATGAGAGATATTGTTTGTAGTTTTCTTGTAATGTCTTTGTTTGGTTTTAGTATTAGGGTAATGTGTCTACATAGAATGAAGTGTTTCCTTCTGCTTTTATTCTCTGGAAGAGATTATAGAGAATTGGTGTCCTGTCTTTCTTAAAATTTTTAAATATGTTTTTATTGATTTTATATATAGAGAGAGAAACATCAATGAGAGAGATCATCAATTGGCTGCCTCCTGCATGTCCCCTACTGGGGATTAAGCCCACAACCCGGACATGTGCCTTGATCAGGAATCAAATCATTGACTTCTGGTGCATGGGATGATGCTCAACCAACTGAGCTCACCGACCAGGCTCTGCCTTAAATGTTTGATAGAATTTATCAGTGAAATCATTTATGCCTGCTGATTTCTGTTTTAGAAGATTAATAATTATTGATTCAATTTCTGTAATGTATGTAGGCCTATCCATATTATCTATTCCTCCATATGTGAGCTTTGGCAGATTGTGCTTTTCAAAGAATTGGTCCAGCCCTAGCTGGTTTGGCTCAGTGGTTGCAGACCAAAGAGTTGTGGGTTCATTTCCAGTCAAGAGCATGTATCTCGGTTGTGGTTTAGTCCCTGGCCCTGGTAGAGTCATGTAGGAGGCAACCAGTTGATGTGTCTCTCTCTGACATTGATGTTTCTCTCTCCTTCTCTCTCCCTCCTTCACTCCCTCCCACTCTATCTGAAGATAAATGGAAAAATATGCTTGGGTGAGGATTAAAACAACAACAAAACAAAAACAAAAAAACAAAGTATTGGTCCTTTTCATCTAAGTTATCAGATTTATTTACATAGAACTATTTATAATGCATCTCTACACACTGTGCTCTGAACCTCTTAAAAACCTAGACTATTTCTTACTCATCTTTATATCTCCCTTCCACCTAGCATATAGTAGGTACTGAATGAATGTTTGAATGACTTGAATTAACTTAATGTAGTTTAGCATAATTTACCTACCAAATAGATATGATAAAGGAATAAAACTTCAGCTACTCTGGATGCTCACAGTTTTATTGGCTTTCTACTTAGTAATTCATAATTAAGTATAAACTGCTTTCTGAAGAGAAGAAATAATTAAAAACTGTAAAGCATAAAGTGGTTTTAATGATATTATCTAATATTTAAGCACATACTGTGTGCCAGTGTGGGTACTGGTCCATACTGTATACCAGGCATAGGCCTTTATATGTATTTACATTTAGTCTTCACAACAACCACGTGAGTAGGTGGTAGTATCTGCATTTTACAGATAAGGAGGCCAAATCACGTAGAGGCTGTGTTTCTTGCCCAAAGTCAATGTGACTTAGTGAAGGTACCTAAACAAACACCAAAGCCTGAGCTGTTAGGCAGTATCCGCTACTGACACACAGCTACTGTTAAAGCAAGGGGAAATCATGAGTATTGTGAGAAATCATCTGAGGGTGTGATTATTATTTTTTATTAATTAATTAATTTATTTTTGTTACAGATGTTTCTCCTTTTCCCCCCCTCCCCGCCCTGTCCCCAGCTTTGTTGTCCATGTCCATTGTTCATGCATACATGCATATAAGTTCTGTGGTTTATCTCTCCCCCACCATCCCCTCTTCTGGGGATTGTCAATCTGTAGTGTGATTATTTTTGAGTAAGAAGTATCATGTCATTGCCTTAGAAAAGGCATAATTAATACTTTATGATAATATGGAAAGTCTTAAGAGTAGATACAGAATTTCCTAGAAGATTAAAAATAATGTATTTAAAATATTGCCCTGAGTGTCAGCAACGGATACTGCTAAACATCCTACAATACATAGGACAGTCTGCACAACAAAGAATTGTCTCTCCCCAAATGTCAATGGACTGAACTGGAGAAAACCCTGTCCTGGACCAAAAGGGTTAGTGACTTCCCAAAATCATGTATCTATTAACTTAGAAGAGGGTCTGACCTGTGGACTTGGAAGTAGCATCTCAGTTCAGGATTCCTTAACTAGAATAATTTATGTAAATTTTTCGAGAGCTAGTAGTTAATTGTGCTTATTTTTCTTTTTGTGTGCATAGGGTTTGTGAAACAGGATCTGACAACCAGCCTCTTGGTGACCATCAGCAAACAACCTGTGACTATTTTGTTGACAGCCTTTTTGAGGAAGCCCAGAAGGCTGGTGCCAAATGCTTGTCTCCCAGTGAACAGAAGAAACAGGTAAATGCCTATGACTTTGTTCTCTTCCAGCATTTCTCAAAATATGGACCTTTTAGAGGGTCCACGAGGTCAAAACTGTTTTCATGTTAATAGTGAGATGTTATTTCCCTTGTCACTGTGTCGACTCTGCACGGACACTGCAGAAGCAGTGGTGGCTGGTAAAGCTGCTGGCACCTTAGAAGGAATCAAGGCAGTGGCAGCAAACCGTACTGGTGATTACTGTATTCTTTGCTTGCACTTGCAGGGGGAAAATAGATGCTGATTTCAATTAAGAATGTTCTTGATGAAGCAGTAAAAATGATAAATTTTATTAAATCCCAGCCCTTCAGTACACATCTTATTAATATTGTGTGACAAAATGTGAACTACACATAAGGCATTCCTACAGTACACATAATATTAACATGATGTACCTTATTTCTTATTGCTTTGCAGGTAGATGTAAGTATAAAATTATGGAAGAATGGATTCACAGTCAATGATGACTTCAGAAGTTATTCAGATGGTGCAAGTCAGCAGTTTCTGAACGCCATCAAAAAAGGGTAAGCAGTCCTGGTCAGTGTGGCCCAGCAATTAGAGCGTTGGCACCAAAGGGTTGCGGGTTCAATTTCCAGTCAAGGGCATGTACCTGGGTTGCAGGTTCAATCTCTGACCCCAGTCAGGGTTCATGCGGGAGGCAACCAATCAGTGTGTCTCTCTCACATCAGTGTTTCTTTCTCTCTCTCTCTCTCTCTCTCTCTCTCTCTCTCTCTCTCTCTCTCTCTCCCCCCCTCCCCTCCCTCCCCTCCCTTCCTCCCTCCCCTCCCTTCTTTCCACTTGCTCTAAAAATCAGTGGAAAAATATCCTTGGATGAGAATTAACAAAAAATAAATAAAAGGTTAAGCAATCTTTGTAAATAAGGAGGATATTTTAGTCACATTTCATTTGGAAGAATTATTTTCAATGTTGTTTATGCATCCCTACACATTCCCAGATACTTTCAGAAATTCATATTTTCATAGGATGAATTTTCTTAAGAGAGCCACAGCTATAGCTTCGGGAGGAAGGTGTAGGAATTTGAATTTTGATCAATCAAAATCTGACTTAAACTAATTCACTTTGCCAAGAATTGCTTAATACCACATCCTAGTTGTTATATTTAATATTTATGTTTAAATACCTTTTTAGTCTTTGAATTGTGATTTCCATTGCATAGGTATATAAACATATGGGTCATTTACACATTTTGGCTATTATGAATAATGCTACTATGAATATTTGTGTACGAGTTTTTGTGTGGGCATATGTTTTCAATACTGTCAGGTCTAGAAGGAGAATTGTTGTTAACTCTGTGTTTAACTTTATGAAGAACTGCTAAACCATATTCCATAGTGACTGCACCACTTTACATTCCCACCAACAGTGTATGAGAGTTCCAATTTTTTTGTATTCTTGTGAACTCTTGTTGGTGTCGTTTTTTTATTTTTATTATTTTTATTTATTTATTTTTTTCCTTTATTGATTTTAGAGAGAGAGGAAGGGAGAAGGAGAGAGAGGTAGAAACATAGATGAGAGAGAACATCAAATACCTCCTACACGACCCCCACTGGGGATCAGGCCCACAACCTGGGCATGTGCCCTGACCGGGAATCGAACCAGCGACCTCTTGGTACATGGGTCCTCTCAACCACTGAGCCACACCGCCTGGGCTAGTGTCAGTTTGTTTCTTGTTTTTTTTAATCCTCACCCGAGGACATTTTTCCATTTTTTTTGCTCAGATAGAGTGGGAGGGGGAGAGAGAGAGAGAGAGAAACATCAACGTGAAAGGGACACATCGAGTAGTTGCCACCCGCACGATCCAACCAAGACTGGGAACAAACTGCTACCAAGGTACATGCCCTTAGCAGGAACCAAACCCAGGTCTCTCTGGTCCACAGGCCAACGCTCTAACTGCTGAGCCAAACTGGCTAGGGCTAGTGTCAGTTTTTTAAAAAATGATTGTTATATCCATCCTAGTGGATATGAAGTGGTATCTTACTGTGGTTTTGATTTGTCTTTCCCTAATGACCAGTGATGTAGAGCATCTTTTCATGTATGTATTAGCCATGTGTATGTCTTATTTCAACAGAAAAACTATTCAAATGGACTTTTGTCCGGTTTTTACGGGGGAGGGGTTTTGCCTATTTTTAAAATTGGGTTACTTGCATTTTGTTGAGTTGTGAGAGTTCTTTATATATTCTGGATACAAGTCCCTTATCAGATACATGATTGTAAAGATTTTCTCCCATTATTTATGTTGTCTTTTCATTTTCTTGATGACATTCTTTGAAGCACAAAACTTTTTAATTTTGATGAGGTCTGATATTATCTGTTTCTTCTTTTGTTACTTTTGCTCCTGGTATCATTTTGCTCCTGGTATCATATCTAAGAAACCATCGTTTAATCCAAAGGTCTTGAAGATTTATTTCTATGTTTTATTATAATTATGTTTAAATTTTGACCAGTGTCTCTGATTACTCTTTCAGGATAGATTGCTAGAAAGGAAATTAATGAATTAAAGGCATGAACATTTTTTCAGCTATTGATGCTCATATTCATGATTCTGTGCTAACCCATGGCACTCTGTCCTTAGTACATTTTTTTTTAGGTGTGGCATCAATTTATGGTGCAAAGCACTTTTTTTGTTAGTTTTTAATTCAGAAGGATTTATAGTAACCAATTTTCAATGTATACATATACATATATATATATCTGTGTGTGTGTGTATGTATATATATATATACAGATTTTAAATTGCTTTATAATATATAATACAATTAATTTTGAATCTTTTCAAAGTTATATAAAAGTTGCAAGTGTAGTACAAAGAATTTTTCCCCTCAAACCATTTTGGAGTAAGTTGCTAAAGTGCTGCCTCTCTAAGCAAGAACGTTTTCCTACATAACTACCATACAACCCTCTATTGATATATTACTGCCATTTAGTCCTCAGACTCTATTTCAGTTTCACTATTTGTTTTAATATTATCATTTTTGGCAAAAGCATCCAATTTAGAATCACACATTTCATTTAGATGTCATGTCTCTTTGGTCTCTTTCACAATGGAACAGTTCCTCCATTTTCTGTGGGTTTTTGTTGTTTTTTTTTTTTAATGACCTTGACACTTGGAGATTATGGACCCAAATTGCATAGAATGTCTCTCAGTTCAGATGTATTTTGTCTTCATGGTAAGATTAAGATTACATGCTGTCAGTAGGAATATCACAGAAGTAATGCTATCCTGTCTTTAATAGTAATTTAGTTTTTGCTTTTCTTTCTTTTTTTTTTTTTATCCTCACCCGAGGACATTTTTCCATTTTTTTGTTCAGATAGAGCGGGAGGGAGAGAGAGGAAGAGAGAGAGAGAAACATCGATGTGAAGGGACACATCGAGTGGCTGCCACCCGCACGACCAAACAGGGCCGGGGACAAACTGCAACCGAGATATGTGCCCTTAGTGGGAACCGAACCCGGGTCTCTCTGTACCACAGGCCGACACTCCAACCGCTGAACCAAACCAGCCAGGGCTAGTTTTTGCTTTTCTTTATAGTTGAACCCATATGGCACGGACCTCTAATGACTGTAATTTTATTTTGTCTGTTTTTTAACTTTATGTAAATGGAATGTGTTTATTTTTTGTGTCTACTCGGCTTACTTCTTTGGGATATTCATCTATATTGTTGCAAATAGCTGTAGTTGGCATGAATGTAGAAGCAATTTAAGAAAGCTGGATGAATTTGATTATGTAATTATTAAAAACAAGTGTACCAAAAGACACTATATACAGTCAAACAAGAAATGCCAAACTGGGAATACTTGTTACACATGTCATGTCAATGGCATGTATACACAGTTCTTACAAATCATTAGGAAAAAGTGGAAAGAATATATGTTTATACCAATTGATCTACTTTATAACAGAATAATAGTGTGCATTTGGTAAAAATGAATGACATATATATCTGTATGTTAACATGAGAAGGATTCTATGGTGTACTGCTAAAAAAGTAGTTTGTAGAATACAGGATAGTATATGTAGATTGATACCATCTGTGGCAAAAATAATATAATTATACAGATTTTAACTATATGTATAAAGAAAATCTAGGAGACAACAGTTTTTTGTTCAAGTAAGAGTGGTATTATAAGGACTGTCACTTTCAGGTTGACATGTTTACATTTATTATGCCTTATTTTTTAGAACAAGCATATATTACTTATTTTTAAATTTAAAAGTTTGAAGTATGACATAAAAAAAAGTACACAAATCATAAGTATATACTAAATAAATTTGTATTATTTCAGTTATCAGAAAAAAATCAATTATTTTATAAAAGTTTGTTAAAATTTGTGATTTGTTTAAAATTTCCCCATGTAACTCCATTGCTTATATCAAATATATTCCATAATATTGTAAACTTTCAAGATCATAAGATTTCACCCAGCCGGTGTGGCTCAGTGTATTGAGCATTGTCCCGTGGACTGAGAGGTCCCAGTTCGATTCCCGGTCAGGACACATGCCCGGGTTGAGGGCTCAATCCCCAGTGGGGGGCGTGCAGAAGGTGGCCAATCAATGTTTCTATCTTTCTCTCTCTCTAAAACAATCAATCTAAAAAAAAAAAAGTTCATAAGATTCGCCCTGGCTGGTTTGGCTCAGCGGTTGGAGCATCGGCCCATGGACCCAAGGGTCATGGGTTTGATTCCCACTCAAGGGCATGTACCTGGGTTGCAGGTTTGATCCCTGGCTTCAGGGTCATGCGGGAGGCAACCAATCTATGTGTCTCTCTTCACATCGATGTTTCTCTCTGTCTCTTTCTCTCCGTTCCACTCTCTCTAAAAATCAGTGGCAAATGTCCTCGGATGAGGATCAACAACAACAATTTAACAGTCATCTTGTCCACATCCCACTGCGCACCAGGCACCGTTCTTGGGATTGGAATATGTTGAATCCTACATTACTTTAATCTCTCTGTTAGGAGGATCAAATGTGAAAACATTTTTTTAAAATTCCATGTTTTATATTTTATTTTATTTGTCATTTCCAGAGTAAATTTATATTTTCCTTTAAAAATTGAAATGAGAGCTTGATTTTTCTAGTACTTTTTTAGCCCTATTTAGACACCTATAAAAATGATCAAACCATTTCAATTTAGCAGCATGTAGTCATCAAATATCTCATGACTTTAGTACTATTCTAGGTATTGCAGAATAACTCAAGCCATTCATGAATTTGTAGTTTTAAAAATTATTCTATGCCCTGGCTGGTTTGGCTCAGCAGTTAGAGCGTCAGCCTGCGGACCAGAGACTCCCAGGTTTGGTTCCCACTAAGGGCATGTACCTCGGTTGCAGTTTGTCCCTGGCCTGGTTGGGGTCATGTGGGTAGCAACCACTCGATCTGTGTCTCTCATATCGATGTTTCTCTCTCTCCCTCCTGCTCTATCTGATGATAAATGCTAAAAAATGTCAGGATTTAAAAAAAAAATTACTGTATATTTTTCTTCTTGGTTTTTGGTATTCATACTATTTAACTATTATTTTTAATGCATTCAGTTTTTTATTGTAAAGATCAATGTGTCTCTTATTTCTATATATTTTTCCATTCTTTGTGCATATAGAGTATGTTTTTCAGAGAAAGAAAAAACACATTGTGAACTTTGTACTTTGTTTCTTTCTCCTCCAAGGGAATTGCCTTTAGAATTGCAGGGAACCTTTGATAAAGAGGAGGTGGATGTTAAAGTTGAAGATAAGAAACATGAAGTATGTATGGCAACGAAGCCTGTGTTCCAGCCCTTCTCAGGACAGGGTCACAGACTGGGAAGGTGAGTGGGCTCGTGATCTGTGTTTTCCATAAGCAGAGGCTTGGCTGCTATTCAGCCCATCATTATTCTACCAGGTAGGCCACAAATATGGAGCTGATCATTTCTCCCATTGCCAATGACACTTTTTATAGTCACTATCATGAGAACTCTTCTAAGTCATATTCACCTTAGTATAAATTAACATGCTGGCACTACAGTAAAAAAAAAATCATGGAGGCTTGATTGATTTCAGCAAATCAAAAAGGCCTGGCTTATTGGGGACATTAAGCAAAATTGGATGGATGAATCATTTCTTTGCTCCCTTACACCCACCACTTGAGCTTTGCCATTCAAGTTAGAGTGCATATGCTAGCTTTTGAATATACGGTTCCATTTGACATTTACCACTGCTCTCGACGTTGTGTCCTGTAATCAACATCTGAATTTCGCAGTAACAAAAATGAAAAAAAAAATGCTTGATAAAGTTAGTATTGGGATCAAACCCTTTATTTTCTTTTTCTTTTTTCTTTTTGTTAATGAAAATAAGCGTTGTTACGTCAAGTAGTAAATGGATGCAAAGATGCGGTGTTGGTCATTTCTCAAGATGCTTGCAGTATCGAAACGTTTCACTATTTTTTGATTCTGTAGTCTTCGTTATATCTAACTATGCCTTGTGACAGAGTATGCAAAGAGGTTAGATGTAGGATCACTTTCATTTTATGAATTCTCATATATTAATTATCAAAATTGGTAAGGTATATACAGGTTCATCCATATATATAAAAATATCTGGATGTTACTTTCAGAATGATCAGAAAATACTTTGGTTCCCCCCCCCCCCCAGGACTAATCTCTTTAGAGATCTTATAAATTTTTTTAGAAATTTGAAAACAGAGTAGGTAAATTCAGTATTATTCAAATATACTACTCACAGTATATTTATGTAGCACTCTGCAAGCTTACAAATTACTTGGATGTGCATAATTCCATTAGATTTCTGTACTCTTATATAACAGACATAACTAATACTAATATCTTTGTGTTATTATTGAGGAAACAGCTGTGCCTTACTAAAATCTTCCTAAAAGCTATACTTCATGTGACATTTTTATAGTAAATGTTTGGTGATAAAGTTCTACTTAAAAACATGCATCTGACTTTGTCGTCTGGATTTTTTTAGTGCCACACCAAAAATTATTTCTAAAGCAAAAAGCATTGAAGTTGAGAAGAAAAATAATTTGTCTACTGTTCCACTAAACAGCCTGGAACCCATCACTAATATACAGATCTGGTTAGCTAGTGGGAAAAGGATTGTGCAGAAATTTAACATGTCTCATAGGTGAGTCTTGGATTTCATTATTTATCTGATTTTCTTCCTAATTTTAATTTTTATTTCTCCTATTAAGTTCAGTTAAGAGTTGTTTTAGGAACTAACCAAGGCCCTAGTCAGTGTGGCACAGTGGTTAGAAAGTTGACCTGGGCACCGAAGGGTCATGGGTTCAGTTCTAGTCAGGACACGTACCTGGGTTGCAGATTTAATCCCCAGCCCTGGTTGGGGTCATGGGGAGGCAGCCAATTCATGTGTTTCTCTTACATCAATGTCTCTCTCTCTCTCTCTCTTTTTTTTTCTCTCTCTCTCTCTCCCCCTCCCTCCCTTCCACTCTATCTAAAAAATCAATGGTAAAATATCCACTGGTGAGGATTAACAAAAAATAAATATAAATAAATAAATAAAAGTAGGAACATACTGTGTATATATAGGTTCTGTGTATATATATACATATAGGTTCTCTATATAAAAGTATTTTAAAATCGGGGATATTATATAGATAATAAAAAATATGTATATACATAGTTAAAATAATAGTAGAATAAACACACATGTACCACCTAGCTTAAAACATATACAGATACACATTGTGTGCATTTTCCTGATCATATCTCTTTCCTTTTGTGCAAGAGAAAAACTCTTCTAAATTTGTATTAATCATTTTCTACTTTTAGTCATAGTTTTACCGAGTATATATGTGTACCTAAAAAATACTGAGTTGTTTTGCTCATTTTCAAAGAACTAGTTCAAATATTAAAACAATCATAAGCATACAGAAAAGTTTCAAGAACAATATAAAGAACTATTTTTCCTAACCATTCAAGAGTAAGTTGCCAATCTGATGATCCATCATCCGAAATACTTCAGTGTATATTCCCTATGAACAAGGACATTACCCACATAACTACAATCCAGCCGTCTTTAGATTGGAAATTTACATCAATATACTTCCACCAACTCATATTCGCCCTATTCAGTGTTTGCCATTTCATCTGATACCATCTTGTATACCAAAGGCCATTCAGAATCGCACATTGCATTTAGTTGTCATGTCTCAATTTGAAATAATAGTTCCTCAGTCTTTCCTTGATTTTCATAACCTTGACAATTTTTAAAAATTAAGATCAACTTTTTTTAATTTGATGGTTTCTCATGATGATATTTAGATTACTGGATTTTGGCAGGACTATCACAGAAATGATACTTTGTATGTCTCACTGCATTCTTTCAGGTGGCATCATTTATATTTTGCCCCAATATGATGGTGTTAAAATTTTTCATTTGATTAAAATGATATCTGCCAAGCTCCTGACAAGTTATTTTTTTATCTTTATAAAGTAGTACGTTTTTCGTGGGGAAGAGGTTTGAAGTTGCGTAATTATTATGTTCTTCCTAAGACATTAAATATATTCATTTATTTATTTATTATCTGTATCTACTCATGGTTTCCTATTTTATTCAATGGGTTATAATCTCTTATCAATAAAATCTAAAATTGTCCTAGAGATAGTCAGTGGGACCTCCTTTAAACTTTTAATATGTTCCCATCATTCTTTGAATATTTGTTTTCTGGCACAAAAACATTTTTCAAGGTTCTTTCTATAGTTTTTCCAAGAAGCCCTGGTTCTGTTTAGTGACAGTGGTGTTGAGAAGCCAGGATCTGGATATGCAGTATGTGTATGGATACACCTGCTCATACATGTGCATCTGTGTTTCTATATCTTTGCATATTAAAAACCATGAGTTCACATAGATGCCTCCAACCTCAATCCTCCACCACCACCAAAGAGTTTATTCTAGTTTTCCCCTTGCTATATTTGTAACTAACTTCTCCCACAGTGAGAAGCTGGGCTCCAGTTATTCTTAATATACTTATTGATCGTTTCTCTCATATGCAACCAATCCTGCTGCTGCCTCCTTCCCCGCCTGGAAGCCTTCCCCACCCTGCTTGGGCTTGACTTCCTTGCTGAGTTCTCACATGGCTTCCCTTCTCTTCCTGCTGGGTCTCTGACTCATCAGCTCAGACCATTCAGCACCCCATGCCAATGACCTCTTCTCCCTGTCAGGCTCCGACACTCTGTGCTGCCTCTGCTCCCCATGCCTGGACACTGCACCCCTCTGGTTCTGGTGCACTGCGCATAGTTGCTCTTCTGTGTGGGTGCTTGAGACAGCCTGTCCTGTGCCACCCCTCCTGCCCCTCAGTTTGGATATACTCTCACCCCGAACTGGACAGCTCTTCTCTGTGGACACTCCCAACCCTGCTTATGCTCTAACCACCCCTGCCTCACCACTACCCTACCTACATGGCCACCCTCCACGAGCTGGTCAGGCTCTGAAACCCTGGGGGAGGGGGGGGGACAGCTTTCCTGAGTGGGAGCCTTCTTCACCCTACTTGGACTTTGGTGCCCTCTCTGGACCACCACAGTTCCCTCTCATTCTGGCTGGATGCTGCCCTATTAATCTGACTTTGGGACTGAATTATTCAGTAAGGCAAGGAAAAAGGCAGCTTTGATAGAATCCTATTGTATGTTCTATTAAACATTTATTTGCTCAATACTATGTTTTTGAGACTTCATCCATGTTCATATGTGTAGCTGTGGCTCACTCCTTTTCTTTTATCCTCACCCGAGGATGTTTACTGATTTCTAGAGAGAGAGAAACATCAGTAGGTTGCTTTCCATAAGTGCTCCAACCAGGGAATCAAACCCACAACCTAGGTATGTGCTCTGACTAGGAATCAAACCCAAAACCTTTTTGGTGTACCGGACGACACTTCAACCAACTGAGCTACCCTGCCAGGGCGAGTTTCTCTGGGATCATTTTCATTACTGTACTATAATCCATTATATGAATATATTGTCCCTTCCATTTGTATTGGTAATGGTCCAGGCTTATATTTTGTTTGTGTGAATGTATCAACCAGCATTGCTCAGTAAACAGCAAAATCTCGTGGCATGGAATAGTAAGGATTTGTTTATCGTGTCAGGTGGTATGGCTTTGCTGATCTCAGCTGGGCTCAGTCATACGTCTGCAGGTCATCTAGGCAAGCTTGGTTTAAGCAGCAGGTGTGTGAGTTTAGGTCTGCACCCCGTGTTTCCCATCCATCTTGACTCACAGACTACCTGCCCATGTTCTCAGAGCAAAGGCACAGGCACAAGAGGGGAGGTCCCACTAAGCAAGCATTTACTTGTATCGCTGTACCGAGGTCCCACTGGCCAGAGCAAGTCACACAGCCAAGTCCTGTTTATTGCACTGTTTGTGGAAAAGACTGTCCTTATTTGATCCAGTTACTGTGGCATCTTTTTGTAAATCAGATTATCCGTTCTGACTTTCCATTCTGTATGATTGGTCCGTCTTTCCGTTTGCCAAGTCTACCTTGTCTTAATTATTGTTGCTTTATAATAAATTAAATTAATTGCTTTTTTAAATGTTTATTTTATCAGTTACCTAGAGGATTGTGCTAAAATCTCCAGCTACGATTGTGGATTTGTCTATTTCTCCTTTCTTTCTGTCAACATTTACTTTACATATGTTAAAGCTATATAATCAGGTTTGTACAGAGATAAAATCTGATTTTTTTCTGATTAATTAACCTCTTTTGCACTAAGAAACCCTCTTAGTCTCCAATAATTTTATATTGAAATTTACTTTGCCTGATGGTAATATAGTTACAACAGCTTTCTGAAGATTACTGCTTACGTGGTACCTCTTCCTCTTCCCTCTAATTGCAACGTATCCATATATTTGTCTGTGTCTGTATACTTAAAGGTGTTTCTTGTAAATAGTTACTCGAGTGTAGTTTTTATATCTAGGCTGGGCTAGCAGTCTTTTTTGATTCCTGTTTTGCTTTTAGCTACCATGTACTGCGTGCTTTCTGTGTGTGGGTCTTTTCAGGGCATTTCACTTACATCATTTCTAAATATCAGAACTACCCTAGACAGCTGGAATCAGGGAACTGGTTATCATAATAACAGAAGTAGTATATGTTTACTATGGTGCCCTGGAAAGTTCTGTGATCCAGATTCTTTTCAAATGAAAGGAGAGTAAGCTAAACGTATGGGAAATGGAGGAGAAAATTTTTTGTTTTTAGGGAAATAAAATATTTTAACCTCAACTTCTTTGTCTAGAAAATTACTACTGACATTTCCAGTAACAAGTAGTCACTTAGGTTTTCCCCCCAAATAACTAAAGCATTTAAAAATGTTGATTGGCCAACTGTAAATATTAAGTGGTGATTTATCGGGCTTTGTTTTTAAGATTCTCTTTTTTTTTTTTTTTTTTGGTACGTGCCCCTAACGGGAACCAAACCTAGGACGCTCTGGTCCGCAGGCCAATGCTCCAACCGCCGAGCCAAACCCGCCAGGGCTGTCGGGCTTTGTTTTTAAATTGGAATGTCTAGTCCACTTTCTACAGTGGTATATAGTATCCTGAACTAATTGGCTTAAGGCTGCCTACCATCTTGCTCTTTATTTTCTCTTTGTTTATCCCATGTCTTTTTATTCTTTTTTTTATTGATTGATTCATTTTTAGTTAGAAAGGAAGGGAGAGGGAGCAAGAGATAGAAACATCAATGAGAGAGAACATTGGCCTCCTGCATGCCCCCCCTGGGGATCGAGCCCACAACCTGGGATGTGCCCTGACCAGGAATCAAACCAGCAGCTCCTTGGTGCATGGGTCGATGCTCAGCCACTGAGCCACACCAGCCGGGCTGGATTTTTAGAAATAATACATAAGCCCTGGCCTGTTTGGCTCAGCAGTTAGAGCATTGGCCCGCGGACCAGAGAGTCCCAGGTTTGGTTCTCACTAAGGGCAGGTACCTCGGTTGCAGTTTGTCCCCAGCCCTAGTTGGAGTCGTGTGGGTGGCAACCACTCCATGTGTCTCTCATATCAATGTTTCTCTTTCTCTTCCTCCCTCTCCCCCTCCCCCTGTATCTGAAGATAAATGCAAAAATGTCCTCGGGTGAGGATAAAAAAACAAAACAAAACAATAAAATAATACATAAAACGATGTGTCTTAAAATCAATGGCATCTTAGTTTTGATGAACTGCGTACACGCTCTCCCTCTCTGAATACACACACATACTTAGGTGAATATAACTTTGGGTTAGTTTCAAGGTTGCAATGATTATTTTATATAGTGTTCATTATACTAACTTAGATTCTCCCTGCACTGAGTTAAGGATTTTCCTAATTGGATTTGGAGCACAGCATGCATGACCTGGTATTTAAGAGAAACCTGTGTCTGTCTGTGTAGTTGGATCATTTCTGACCCATTCAGAGCTAGATATGTAGATAGGTAAACTTTCACTATAGAAACTTGGAGATATGTACAAAAAGCAAAGAGAAGGTAATGATTTATCACTTAGTTTCCACTGAACTATTTTTAAGCAAATCCCAGACTTCATATAGATATTTCAGCATTTATCTCTAAAAGATAAGTACTCTTTTAAAATGTAACAATAATACCCTTGCCGCACCTAAGATAATTAGTAATAAGTCCTTACAGTCAGTCACCAAGGGTCAACCTTTAAAAGATAGCCCAAATGATCAGTTCTGTCATTATAATTCGAGTGTTCTATGTACTCACACAGCCAGATACCTTCACAAGTTACTACTTTAAATGAGTTCAAACTATCATAAAGTTATACTAACAGTTTGTGCTGTTTTACAGGATAAGCCACATCAAAGCCTTCATTGAAAAATACCAAGGACCTCAAAGAAGCCCCCCGTTTTCCCTGGCCACAGCTCTCCCTTGCCTCCGACTGCTGGACGAAAGGCTCACGCTGGAAGAAGCGGATTTGCAGAATGCTGTGATCATCCAGAGACTCCAAAACCCCACGGAACCTTTCCGAGAACTCTCATAACATTGATTTCTGACACACTAAGTGGAACGTTTGCAGAGAAATGATGGTTATAAGTGGACATGCAAACCACAATGGGGGAAAGTCGGGCTCGCTGGACTTTGGTTCAAGTCCCATTGACCTCCTCCGGAGGAGGAGATTTAAGTAAGTACGACATAGGAGAGTAAACGGCGACTGGAAGCTGTATTCAGTGCGCTGCCTCCCAAAGGCTACTCAGAAAAATATGCTTGTTTTCAATGCCAATCATTCAACATGAGATATCTTAAATGACTATCATTTAGTATCGTAATGTGGTATAAATTAGCAAATATGTTCACAGCATCGTTCATTTAAACATCATTCCCAAACAGCAGTGATTTACTTAAATGTTAGCTGTCTCAGAATTTTTAAATAGCAGTACATTGAAAATTATACATGCAGGTTCAAAGCATCAATGTCATTATTTTATGCCTGAGATACAATCACAAGGCTGGAAGGAACTGCATTCTCCACAGCTATGCCTACACCTCGAGGTGTTCTTACTTTGCATTCTCTAATGGCGAGACATACTCAACTGTTAATTTGGAAATAGTATCTAAGATGTTTTTTCATGTAAGAATAAAATTCTGTAGCTTAGTACAGTGTTACTATTAATCTGCCTAATCATGTCTCTACATTTTCAAGAAGTGTAATTTTTTAAAAAGTTTGTTTCTCTCCAGGAACTACAGTTCATTCCCTATTTTCTTTTCTTTCAAAAATTAGGGATTCATTCCTAGCTAACATTTGGAGTAAGCCATTCATTTGAAACTATTTACTTAGCCCTAGCTGGTTTGGCTCAGCGGTTAGAGCTTCAGCCCCTGGACCAAAGAGTTGTGGGTTTGATTGTGGTTCAATCCCCAGCCCCCTTTCACATTAATGTTTCTCTCTCTCTCTCTCTATCGCTCCCTCCCTTCCACTCTATCTGAAAATCAATGGAAAAATATTCTCAGGGGAGGAGAAAGAAAGGAAGGGAGGGAGGAAGGAAGGAAATTACTTAGAATCTCATGTGTTGTCACATGGCTAATTAATACTTTTAAATGCATTGTGTAATGTATGGTTTTATATTCCATACATTAGAGTCAACCCGTGTATACATTAAAGGATTATTTATTACATTTTGATGTCACCAAGGAAAACATGCTTTGTTTCTTAGACCTTAAAACCAATTAGACTTCAGTATTTCACCGTCAGATTAAATCCCCTTGCCCAAAAATAAGTTCAGGAAGTTTTTTGCAAGTAATCTATTGAATCACATTTAAAGGGAACTATATACTGAGTGTGCCAAGGAACTAAGTAGCCATGCCTGCCAGCAGTAACGCTCACAGGGCTCTGGGCATCTGCTGGAATGAGCAAGTCTCACATTTTTCATCTCAAGACCTTTTCTTTATGTGGGTTATAAATATATTAATAAATAAAAGTTATAAAATATTTAGTCATTTAAAAATAATAAACTAATATAAACACTATTCTGAAAAATGTCTATTTAAAAACAAAACAAAAATGATTTAGTGAGAACAGTAGCATTGCATTACACTTTTTGCAAATGTCTTCTTTCCTGTCAGACTTAAAGAAGACAGATGGAATCTCTTATCTGCGTCTACAGTCAATCTGTTGTGATATCACACATCATGTAGCCTCTAGTAAATGGTACTGTGCATTCATGAGACAATGAACACAACAAATAACGTCTTAGTATGATTATGAAAATAATTTTGACCTTGCGGACCCCCTGAAGGAGCCATTCTTATAAAGCAATGATTAGCAATGATTCTCAAGCCTTATGTAAGAATCACTTGGGAAGCTTTTCAAAATGCCTATTCCTGTCACTTCCACACACATTCTGATTCATTGTGTCTGGGATGAGTCCCAGATCCAGGCATTTCTCCTCTCATTCGATTCTTCGGTGTATAGTGGAAGAACGGGGCTTCAGGAACCCGTCCACCCTACACAGAACCCTGCACACTGCACCGTGGCCAGTGGAAGGCCCTCCACGGAGATGGGCCCCAGTCCCATTCTATCTTCATCCCCCGTTTGTTCTTAGACTGTTTCCCTTTAACTCGGAACTAATCATGGCATAAACCTATACTTTATCTTCTATAAGCACAGCTGAGACAAGGCTGGAACATTTTGTTTGTTTGTTTTTGTTTTTGTGGTTAGTCCTCACCCAAGGATATTTTTCCATTGATTTTTAGATAGAATGGAAGGGAAGGGAGGGTTGCGGGGAGAGAGAAACATTAATGTGAGAGAGACACATCGATCGGTTGCCTCCCGCATGACCCGGACCAGGGCTAAGGATCAAACAGACAGACAACCCGGGTACCTGCCCCTAACCAGGAATTGAACCCAAGACCTCTCAGTCTGCAGACCAGCACCAACCGCTGAGCCAGACCGGCCAGGGCAAGGCTGGACCATTTACATGAGGTTTTTATTAAAGGCTCAAGAATAATGAAAGGGAAGTACACATAACTCAATGACCCGTTTTATAAGACATATCTTCTGTTTGAGGTTCATTTGAACAACGCTTTCTTGTCTAGCTCCGAGCCTCTATGGTTGAGGCCTGCCTTTTTACTAGGAAGAGAGGGCGAATAAAGGAAAACCTTTTCTCTTTGTTGTTTACTCTCAGAAATGAACAGATACATATAATAGAAAATCAATATTGTTGGTAATGTTTACAGCCTGGCTCCTGACACGATGGCATTCTGTAAAATATGAAGGGACAGTAAAACCAATGAACTTCTTTCTGATATAAGAGGATTACTAATATATTTTTGAGAATATGTAAGAATGTTTCATATAGGCCTATCATGAAGCATTTTATCATTTTTATTTGCATAATTATAGTCGTGTGATTCTCCATATATTTCTGTAAGGGGGCCGCTCACTGGAAATATTTGTCTTGTACCTAAAGAAAAGCCTCCTTTGTGGATTTCCCAATTTATAATTGTTTAACCAAGAAGTCACATTGGAGGTTTTCTTGTGTGTCCATGTAGAACACACCCCAGTGAGAAGTTCCTATAGGGAAACACCTGTCACCAGCAATAAACTTCATTTTTGTAATTGTAAACGCTCACCAATGTGAATAATATTCTCAGAAGTTTTCTAAAATAAGAATAATCAGATAAAGCTTTTTACCTGAAAGTTTCAAATTGTAAAGGTGTTCATTCAATGTATAGAATATTCCAAACATGTTGATTTTAAAAAGCATAAATAAACTGAATTTATCAAGGGAAGGCAAACTGGAAAATAAGCATCTTGGATGTGGAATGTAATGTGACCTAAGTAGTTTCAAACTGTTGTCTGGTTTTTTGGGGTTTGTTTTTTTAAATAGTTTATTGATTTTTTTTTTTTTTTTGAGAGAGAGAAACATTGAGAGTTAAACATTGTGAGAGTTAAACATTGATCAGCTGCCTCCTGCAGGCCCCCTTCCAGGGTTCAAGCCTGAAACCCACAAATGTGTCCCCACTGGGAATTGAACCTGCAGCCTCCTGGTACATGGAATGATGCCCAACCCACTGAGCCACACTGGCCAGGACCCATTGTCATTTTTTTGAAAGTCGTTGTTAGGGTCGACATATAGAAATACATTTCTAATTTTGCAGATTCTAATTTATTGGTTAAATTACTATGCATTATCCAGATTATAAAAGTGATCTTATTTATTTTATATATTTCTCTCATTCAGAATACTTTTTATTATGTTTCATTGTGTTGAAAATATGATATGTATTCATCTATTTTAGTGCCTTAAAGTACTTTCAAAGTGATCTTTTGCTAATGGTTAAAGAACTGTTGTCTTAAGGATGAAATACTATTCATTAAAAGGATATGCAAAAAAAGTATATGCTTGTTTGTTAAAAAATAGTTACATATAGGTGTATCCGTCATTTTTATTTGGCAAACTCATTCGGTTTGACACTCCCCAAATATTTATTAGGTGCTTTCTGTTTGCCAGGTACTTTAACCAACGTTACTTTCACTTAATACTCAGAAACGTTAAAATGTGATCGTCTGAATACTAACTCAGTGGTTGTGTTTATTTTTTACACCATCCTTGTGATCTGAGTGGAACTAACATGAAGCTCCGTGGTAGGGTTTACTTCTTTGTTCATTCTCTAAGTACAAACCATTTCATTAAAAAATTGTTCATCACAGTACATCTTCAAATAGCAGTGGTTTATTCAGTAGACTAATATGTAACTCTTTTCTGCTTTACATGCCTTTTCACGCAGATAGTTCACATACATCTTAGAAATATAAAGTGCAGATATGCTTAAATGATCTTTAAATCGGCTGTTAGTCCACTGTTCAAAAATAACCACTGATAACATTTTGGTGTGCATTCTTTCAGATATTTTTAAGTGTATCAATCTTTAGTTTTGTTTCAATTCAAAAGTAGGCTCGTTGGTTATTGTTGTCCTGCAATTTATTGAAATCTAACATATTTGTCTTTAACTAAAAATTGCATTAGGAACATGCCACTACTTTAAGTAGAAGAATAGCTGTTAGGAACAAATGCCTTTTATATTAATCACATTTTTGTGCAAAGATAAAGATGGAAGTTTTTTTGTTTTGTTTTTTACCCACTCAAAATTAAAATTGTGGTAGTATATGCAACAAAGTACAAATACTGGGAATGAGGTATATCCAGACCTGCTAAAAATACATATAAAATGATTATCCAACGAAACTTCAGCTTGAGTTTATATTTAAATATTTAGGCCCTGGACAGTTTGGTTCAGCAGTTAGAGCTTCGGCCCACAGTCCAGAGAGACCCGGGTTCAGTTCCCGCTGAGGGCATGTACCTCGGTTGCAGTTTGTCCCCGGCTCTGGTCAGTCGTGCGGGTGGCAGCCACTCGATGTGTCCCTTCACATCGATGTTTCTCTCTCTCTCTCTGTTCCTCTCTCCCCCTCCTACTCTACCTGAACAAAAAATGGAAAAATGTCCTCAGGTGAGGATATAAAAAAAAAAAAAAAATGATTATCCAATGAAACTTCAGCTTGAGTTTATATTTAAATATTTAGGCCCTGGACAGTTTGGTTCAGCAGTTAGAGCTTCGGCCCACAGTCCAGAGAGACCCGGGTTCAGTTCCCACTAAGGGCACGTACCTCGGTTGCAGTTTGTTCCCAGCCCCAGCTGGCTCGTGCGGGTGGCAACAGCTGTATGTGTCCCTTTTATGTCAATGTTTCTCTCTCTTTCTCTCCCTCCCACTCTATCTGAACAAAAAAAAATGGAAGAAAAAAAAAGTTAAATATTTAGCACATGCCTTATCTAACTATCCTTCCACTGTTTATAGGGCTACAATCAAGGAAACAGAAGGTACCCATTTTGTAAAGTAAAGAAGCATATTTCACAATATATACAAACACTGAATCATGTTGTACACCTAAAACTAATATAATGTTGTCAATTATACCTCAATTTAAAAAAAAGAATTGAGGTGTAGAAAATAGAATGAATAACTTGCTTTGGGACTAAGTAGTGTATACTTTAGGACCATAGGTTAGACTGCCAGTCTCAGTGTGTAACTCTAGATCTCAAGATCACATTTCATCCAGTAGGAAGAAGCATACTCCTGCCCTTAAAAAAAGAAAACAACAAAAACAGCTTTATTGCAATATAACTCACATGCCTTATAATTCGCCCGTTCACATATTTTAGTATATTCACAGGATGTGCAGCAATCACCTCAATCTAACTTTAGAATGGTGTCATCCCCTCTAAAAGAAACTCCATATCCATTAGCATTCATTCTCCACCCTCAGTTCTAGGCAACCACAAAGCTGTAATCTATAGACCTATTCTGGACATTTCAGGTAAATGGAATTATACAACATGTGGTCTTTGGTGACTAGTGTTTTTTCGTTTAATATTTTCAAGTTTTATCCATGTCCTTTTTATTGTTGAATAATAGTCCGTTGTATGGAAATACCTACTACATTTACTTATCCATCAACGGATGGATGGACGTTTGGGTTGTTTCTACTTTTTGGGTCTCATAAATAATGTTGCTGTGAACATTTTTGTTCAAGTTGTTGTGTGACCATGATTTCATTTTTCTAAGGTATATACGTAGGAGTGGAATTGCTGGGTCATATGCTAATTCTACTTTTAACTTTTTGAAGAATGGCCAGTTTTCCAAATTGCCTGCCCTACTTTACATACTCACCAGCAGCCTTGTGTGATTTCTCCACATCCTCCCCATCACTTCTTATTGTCTGTTCTTTTAAGTATAGCCATCCACCCGGAGTGGCATCTCGAAGTTGTGTGTTCTTCTTATGACATGAGCACCTTTTCACGTCTATCTTTGGAGAAATAGCTATTGAAGTCTTTTGTCCATTTCTAAATTGGGTTATTTGTCTTGTTATTGAGTTGTAAGAGCTCTTTATATATTCCAATACAACTCCTTATGATTTGCACATATTCTATTCTGTGGGTTGTCTTTTCACTTACTCACTGGATGGCTTGCACCCCGAAGATTTTCATTTAGATATAGAGCAATTTGTGCCTGTGGTGTCCTAGCTAAAAATCAACTGTGACCCTGGCTAAGCGACTCAGTTGTTTGGAGCATCCTCACTTACACCAAAAGGTTGCAGGTTGGATTCCTGGTCAGGATACATAGGTAGGTTTCAGGTTTGCTCTCCCATTGGGTTCCCTCTCCTGTCAGGGCGGGCGCCTGTGGGAGGCAACCAACATTTCTCTCACATCCATGTTTCTTTCTCTCTTCCTCTCTCTTCCCCTCTCTAAACATATCCTTAGATGAGAATTTTAAAATTAATAAATAACAATTGTGTAACCCACACTTACGAAGATTTGCTCCCGTTTTCTTCCAAAACTTGTAGTTTTAGCCTTTACACTTAGGTCAATGATACATTTTCACTAGTTCTCGTATATGATGTGACCCCTTCGTACTAAGGACCTTTCTGGGAAATTGCATACACCAGCCTGCTCGCATTCACCCGCCAGAACGCAGTTAGGGCCACACCGTGTTCTGTATGAGGCTGGGAAATGTACATTGCAGGCCTCCAGTAGCAAATTTAGCAGCTTGGAAACCTATTCAGCCACATTCTTAATCTCCACAAATCAATACTATTGCTTCGTTTTTCAGATAAACGTATTTGTTGCCTTTCACCAGTGAGGTTTAGCAGGAGGGTTTAGCGTGAACCGCCTCTGGTTCTCAGTCCCATGCAGACCGCCCCAAAACGGTCCCCTGAGACTTGCCGACCGTCCCCCCGCGAGTCTGAGCTCGGGGGGTTTCCCTTTGGGGAAAGAAACCTGCGCAGCTTCCCGGTTTGTCGTGCGCCTGGGGGCTGGCCACCCGCGCCGCGCCCGCTCCGCCCGAGCCGCCCTCCCTGCCCACGATAACACCAGGGCCACTGTCGCAGACGCAGCTGTGCGAGATGGCTGCGTCCCCTGGAGGGTCCCCGGCCCCTGCAGTTGAGGAGCCCGCGCCCCAGCCGGAAGCGCACGCCCGGGAGCCCGGCTCGGTGAGCGCCAAGCGAGGGGAGGCAGGGGAGCTGGGGGTCGCCGGGCGGAGAGGGGGCGCGGGGGCCTGGAGGGCATCTGTCCAGCCAGGGGCAGCTCTGCAGGGCCCTCACCACGATCTCCCCCTGGTGGGGTTTGACACTTGAGAACCCGGCGGAGCCCCGAAGAGAATAGCATTGGAAACTGAGTCCTGGGCAACTGAGTGACGCCGGGTTCGGTCAACTCGTCGGGCAGGACCAGAGCCGCGCTCTGCTCTGCTGGCTCCCAGTCCGGGCTCTCGTCCACCACACTGCAGGTGTCCCCAGAGAGCTCCTGAACCCCACAGCTAGATCCTGCAGCCGCTCCAGGAGGCAGCCTTTCTTCCCCAGTCCCCGGGCAGGTGGTGTGACAGCCACCTTCTCAAACCCTGGCCTCAGAGATGTCCTTTCCGGCCCCCAGCCCCCAGGGTGAGGGTAGAGGGCAGGTGGGAACCCAGGGGTGACGGGGGGGGGGGGGGGACTCATGCCACACGGATGGTTGTGTTGGAGCTGGTGTCTGCTGAATGCAAATCCACCTAGGCTCCAAGCGAAGCATCCGCGGTCTGTGGCTTCACTTCGCCACCACCTCAACTTCATATCCTCCCATCAGGCACCTCTGAGCAAAGGATTGTGGCCTCCAAGAGAGAAATTCCATAAAGAGGCTCTCCGAGGACTCTCATTTCCAATGACATTTAGAAATGCAGGGTGGGATTAATGGCAAGAGGGAAAAATAGCATTGCCAATGAAGTGCCAGCATTCAATTCTCGTAACAACCCTATGAGGTTGTATTATCTCCAGTTAACACAAGGAAACTGAAGCAGCCACGTGAGGTAACTTGCCCTGGTCACACAGCCAGAAATGGCAGACGCAGAATTGGAGTCCAAGTGTGTTTAATGCTAAAACTTGTGCTCAGCCAACTGTGAAGGGCTTATGATTAAAGTATATAAAATTGCCAAGATTCTAAGATCATATCATGACCTAGTTTCAGCTGGAACTTTTCCCCCCATCTTTCAAGTGCCTTTTACGTGCCAGTAACTTGCTGGGCATATTTAGGGAGAAATAAGAATCCGACTATGGGGTGGGGCAGGAGAGCTATCATGGTGGATTCTGCCTATGGTTAAAGTTTTCTGGAAGTTGAAATAATGTTCACACAATGTCAGAAAAGGAGACCACATCCTGAATCATGTGTGGTTTTCTTCTGTGGGTAGAAAGAGTGTGCAAAGGATATGATAAACTCTTATCTGGAAAGACCTTCCCTTCAAAAGGGCCCCATCGGGTGTCCTGCAAGATACCAAAGTGGGCGAAGCTATAGTCTTCTGCACTCCCCCGCCCATCCACAAGAAAAGGACCAGAAAGAATTCCCAGCATCTTTCAGAGAAATGGCACTTTATGCAGTGTCCTTGTGGCATTTATTCCTTCAATAAATATATACTGAGCATCTGCTATATGGCAAGCATTGTTCTAGGTACTGTGGACATGGTGGTGAGTAGGTCATGCTCTCTGAGAACTTATATTCTGATGAAGAGAGGCAGGAAATAAGTAAGAAGATATCAGGTAGTAAGTAAAACTGGAAAAGAGACTTGGGAGGCCAGGGAAGTCCTCTCTGATGGCATTTAGGCTTAGTCTTGAATGACAAGGAGTCAGCTCTGCAAGAACCTGGAGGAAGAGCCTTCCAGACAGAAGGAACAGGAAGTGCTAAGGCCCTGAGGCAGCAACAGGCATGGTTATGTTGAGGAATAGGACTGAAGTTACCATGGTTGAGGAGAGCTATCTGAGGTGGGAATGAGAATAAAAGCAGATTGGGTGGGCTCTTGTAGGCTGTATGGTGAGGACTTGGAGTTTTATTCAAAGTATACTGGCAAGCCCTGGCCAGTTTGGCTTAGCGGTAGAGCGTCGGCCCGTGGACCAATGAGTCGTGGGTTTGATTCCAGCCAAGGGCATGTACCTCAGTTGAGGTTCATCTCCAGCCCTGGTCGGGGTCATGCAGGAAACAACCAATTGATGTGTCTCTTTCACATCAATGTTTCTCTCTCTCTCTCTCCATCTCTCCCTCCCTCTTACTCTATCTGAAGATAAATGGGAAAATATCCTTGGGTGAGGATTAAAAAAACTCAACAAAGTATACTGGCAAGCTGTTGGAGGATTTTAAGCAGAAAAGAGACACAATCTGACTATGTTATAAAAAGATCACTTTGGCTGCTGGGTGGAGAGTGGGTAGTAGGAACCGAGAGCAGAAGCATGGGAGCCACTTAGGAGGCTCTCACTGATAAACAGGGGAGTTGGGAAAGGGGGATTGAGGGTTGACTCCTGGGTCCACAGCCTGAGCTGCTGAGTGGACACTGGGGTCATTTAATGCAATGGGGACAACAGGGTTAGGAGTTGGTTGAAACGATGGGATGGAAATCAGAAGCTGTGTGTTTGACCATGCTAAGCCAAAATGCCTGTTAGCAACCACATAGGGCTGTGAGTAGTCAGCAGAATATATAAGTCTGAAGTCAGCTGCATAGCTTAGGGCCTGTGAGATACACACATACACACACACACACACACACATTGGGATCATAAATATTACTTAATTTCAGTGATGGGCTGGTAAAGTCTCTCCAGGAAAAAAAAAAAAAAAGCTGTGATTTGTAATGTTTGCTGATTTCAATAGTGTAAATACCCTCGCCATGGCTGATTTCAGGCTGCTAGTCATTCAACAATGGCTGCGAAAGTCCTGAACATTCAGCATTCAGCTCTTGGAACCATCACCTCATCTGCTCATCAAAACAACTCTGTGAAGTTGGAAGGACTTTTCCATTTGACAAATAAGGCTTAGAGAGGGAAAGTGGTTTATGCAAGGTCACACAGGGAGATGGTGGCAAAGTTGGGGGTCTCTTGACCCCCAGTTCACTCCTGCTTGCTGACTCAGAAAATAAAATGCTGAAGCAAGAAGCACTGAGGGGGAAACACAAGGAAGAACTTCCCCCTGGAAAAGTTTAGAGGTCATGTTTTAGGATTTTTTTTTTTTCTTTTCTATCTCACTTCCTTTTAAGTTAATTTGGGGCAAATTAGGACTGAGAGGTTGCAGGAAAAGCCCTTAAGACATAGGGATCTCACACCCTGGCCAGTTTGGCTCAGCAGTTAGAGCGTCGGCCTGCGGTCCATAGAGACCTGGGTTCAGTTTCCACTAAGGGCACGTATCTCAGCTGCAGTTTGTCGCTGGCCCCCCTTGGGGTCGTGTGGGTGGAAACCAGTCGATGTGTCTCTCTCACATCGATGTTTCTCTCTCTCTCTCTCTCTCTCCCTCTTGCTTTACGCAAAAATGTCCTTGGGTGAGGATAAAAAACAAAAACAAAAACAAAACCACATAGGGACCTCAGGATGTTTATGGAAGTCACGGGTGTGTGTGTTTCTGTGAAGGTGGGGCTTAGCTCTTGTGTCTCCACCAGGACAGGAGAGCCAGTCGTGGTCGCCTCTCATTCTGTACGAAGGTTTGCTATGGCATTGGCGGGGTCCCCAACCAGGTGGCCTCCAGCGCCACAGCCTTTTACCTGCAGCTGTTCTTGCTAGATGTGGCACAGGTGAGTGAGGGCAGCAGCCCAGGGCCCCCTATTCTCATCTTCCTCCATGTCTGGTCCTTCCACCCCCACCATCCTTGACATAGCACTTTTGACCTAAACCTGACAAAAACCAAATGCTATTGAGGGAAACCTACTCAAGAATGTTTACTGCAGGCTGTTAGTAGTAGAAAATGGGAAACAATGTGAATGCCCAATAATATAGAAGCAGTTGGGTAATAACTTGTACTATCTCCATATAATGGACAATTATGCAGCCATTTAAAGAATGAGTTAGATCTATACCAGTTGATTTGGAGGGATTTCCATGACACACTGTCAAAAGTTAGTTTTAGAGAAGAGTATTTGACATGATCCCATTTTTAGCAAAACAAAGACATGCCCCATAGATGTATGTGCATGAGTATATGTGTGTATGTTTCAGTACCTGATTTAAAATAAGCATGGAGAAAATTACACCAAGCTCTTAATGTTGGTTATAGGAGGGAATGGTGGAGGATAGAGAGTAAGCAAAGAAAAAAAATTTTTAATAAGGTATTTCTGATTTTTATTTTATTTTTTATTTTTTTAAACATATTTTTATTGATCTTTTAGAGAGGAAGGGAGAGAGAGGTAGAAACATCTATGGGAGAGAGAAACATGTATCGGCTACCTCTTGCACTCCCCCTACTGGGGATTGAGTCTGAAACCTGGGCACGTGCCCCTACCTGGTATCGAACTGGGACCTCTCAGTGCATGGGACAACGTTCAATCCACTAAGCCACACCGCCGGGCTGATTTTTTAAAATGACACTGGTATGGTTGCATTTATATACTATTATAAATTGCAAAAATACATAAATTTATGAAAGGATGATCATCAAAATGCTTCTGGCAGTTGTCTCAGATGGTGGGATTTCAGATGAGCTTTGCTCAGTATTTTTCTATATTGTTTGAATGTTTTTATAGTGAGTGTATTATATATGTAACCAGAAAAATCAATACAGCATTTTTATTGTGAGACAAATGTCTACCTATGACTGTCAGCCTAGGTGCACCCTTCTTTCACTGAGCCACCTCAGAGGAGGTCCCTTCCAGAAGTGACTTGGCATGCATAACAATGGAAATGCGCCAGTGTGTGGCTTCGGCTCCCTCCACGCCCCTTTCTTCACTAGCACAGATGGGCCCTGAGAGCCTCTGTATTAGTGTCTTGGGGAGGAGGCTGAATAGACCTTTAACTCTGCCTCTGGCCTCAGCAAGGTTCCTAGCTCTCTCTCCTGGTGGGTGGGCAGGCCTGGACACCCTCTCTGACTCTGCCAGTCCTTGGCTATCTCCTCTCCTGTCTGTTTCAGATCCCTGCTGCCCAGGTGTCTCTTGTCATGTTTGGAGGAAAGGTGTCTGGGGCAGCTGCTGACCCCGTGGCTGGGTTCTTCATCAGCAGAAGCAGGAGGACAGGGTCTGGACGACTCATGCCCTGGTGAGCAGCCCTATGGTCCTTAAGGTCTGGCACCTACCCATAGCCTAAGGTCACTATGGTTGTCATGGCCCTGCTTTTTAGTAGAAAACCCTGTGGATGGTTAGAGGACAAGACTGGGCAGCAGGTGACAGGACTAGACAGTAGGTGACAGTACAAGGCGGGGTCAGACTAAGTCATACAGGAGTTCAGAGACAGTCCTGGGGACTTTCACTCACCAGATGGCTCAGGGCTAGATAAAGCCTCCAAGATGCCCAGGCCTGGCCCAGAGGTCTGAGTGAGCCAGGGTGGGCTGGAGGCCATGGAATGTCTTGCAGAGTAAGTACGACCCTTGTACTCCAGAGTGGTTGATAGGGGGAATGGCACCACCTAGCACCCAAGGGTCTTAGCCAGAGTCGCAGCCCTCTTTCCTGGCTACCTCCATGTCCCATCAGCCCCTCCCCATGGCTTGCACCCTGAAAGCCCCAGCCCAGGGCTTGTGCAGGGGCAGAGGGAGTATGCCCAGAGGGGTGGCATTGCTCCAAGCCATCCTTTGTGGCCCCAGCCCCGATGCTGAGGGTGTTCTGCCCCCGCTGCGCTTCCACAGGGTGCTGGGCTGCACGCCCTTCATCGCCTTGGCTTACTTCTTCCTGTGGTTCCTGCCCCCCTTCACCAATCTCCGAGGCCTTTGGTACATGACCTTCTACTGCCTATTCCAGGCTCTGGCCACGGTAAGCAGGTGGCACCCCTTCCTGGCCCTAGACCCCTGGAACCCCCTTGCTGGCCAGTGACCACTCTGAAGTGAGTGTGTCCAGGGGTAGTTGTCAGGGGCCCACTGCTGGCACCTGCTCCCCAGTGCCTGGCCATCTGCCTGTAGCTCCTCTCGCCCACTGGGCTCTGGGCTGGGTGCCCCCTCCTGCCCCTCAGCCCTTGACCCCCGGCCTGAAGAACTCTGTAGGGACGTGCCCGCCTGGCGCGGGACCTGGCTGGGACAGGCGGTCCACTTTGGCGGTCTGGGCGGAGGGGGGCCATCTAAGCTCCCCCTGCGCCCCAGTTTTTCCAGGTGCCCTACACAGCGCTCACCATGCTGTTGACCCCCAGCCCCAGGGAGCGGGACACCATCACCGCCTACCGTGAGTGCAGGATGGGGGGTGGAGCGTGGCGCTGCTGGGCCACCAGCTTGGTCACCTTAGCACTCCCTGTGTCCCAGGGATGACCATGGAGATGGCGGGGACGCTCATGGGAGCCACGGTCCACGGACTCATCGTGTCTGGTGCCCACAGTCCCCACAGGTGCGAGGAGGCCGAGTTCCCAGGGCCGGTCGCTGTCTCCCCCAACGCTGTGAGTGCCCATGCGGGCTACCCCTCCGCGTCCTCGCTAGACCCGCTCCTCCTCCTCCTGGGCGCCTTCTAACACACGACACCGGCTGCGGTCCCTCCGGAGGGAGGAGGCAGACCCGCGAGAAGGGTGGGGGAAGGGTAGCGGGAGGGCGTGGTGTCCTTGCAGAGCTCTGGGTGAAGCCCCTCCTGGGCCACCTCCCACCCCCAGTGAAAGGAGAAGCTAAGCCTGCAGCCAGGCCACCTCCTTCAGAGCAGGTCCCTCTGCAGCCCCTGGGGCCTGCATCCACTTCAGCCACCCATTTCATGATTGTCCCCGTAAACAAGTGACATCACTGCCTCCCAGAACCCAGGAGTCATCCTCTACTCCTCCCTCTCTCTCAGTCCAACCGAGAACTAAATCCTGTCCACGTTTTAGGACAAAACTCTTTCTGCATTCACTGCCCTGCCCTGGCCTGAGCCTCTGCCAGCCCCTCCCCTTCACCGGTCGGGGTGAGGGTGGCAGTGGCCTTGAGATGGGGAGGAGCTCAGAACCCACCCCCGAGAGCTCAAAGCATTCATTCAGGTGCCTCTTGGTAGCTCCAGCTCTGTTATCCCATGGACTTTACTTACAAAACACGCGTTCATAGAATAAAATCATCAAAAATCTCAAGACAGCCCTGGCCGGTTTGGCTCAGCAGTTAGAGCGTCGGCCTGTGGTCTAGAGAGACCAGGGTTCGGTTCCCGCTAAGGGCACGTACCTGGGTTGCAGTTTGTCCCCAGCCCTGGTTGGGTCGTGCGGGTGGCAACCACTCGATGTGTCCCTTTCACGTCGATGTTTCTCTCTGTCTCTCCCCCACCCCCCATTCTATCTGAACAAAATATCAAAAAATATCCTCCGGTGAGGATAAAAAAAATATTTTACAAAACACACGTTCATAGATAAAATCGTCAAAAATCTCAAGGCAGCGCTGGCCGATTTGGCTCAGTAGTTAGAGCATCGCCCGGGAACCAGAGAGCCCTGGATTCGGTTCCCACTAAGGGCACGTACCTTGGTTGCAGTTTGTCCCTGGCTCCCGTTGGGTTGTGTGGGTGGCAACCAGTTGATGTGTCTCTCACATCAATGTTTCTCTCTCTCTCTTCCTCCCTTTCTCCCTCCTGTTCTATTTGAAGATAAATGCAAAAAAAAAAAAAAAAAAAAAAGGTCCTCAAGCAAACAAAAACAAAAACCTCAAGACAGCAACTGCAGAGCATTAACCTCCAAGGGCAGGGTCCTTCTGAATGTGAATGCAAGGCCTGTTCAACTGTGCCGGACCACACGGGGGAAGCCTGCCCACCTCTTTCCTCCCTTCCCCAGAGGCAGCCTCTGTCGGGAATTGGGTGACTCCTGTGCATATCTTTATATGTACTTTTTGCCTGAATGATAGGTGGCAATGTCTCTTTTTTTGACAGTTATCTGGGTCATGGTGCATCACAATGTAACTTGTACTCATGGATCTGTCTTCCTCCTACACTCTAAGCCCCTCACTGTGGGTGCACAGGGGTCACTTATTCATCACTGCGACCTCAGGGTCTAGCATACAGAATCAGCAACAATGCATGCTTGTTTTAAAAATGAGAGGGGGAGGAACGCAGTGGGGGAGAGAGAGGAAGGAGGTAGTGGGGAGAAGACCCAGACCCTCAGACCCCTGGTGGCATGGATGCATGCAGGAGGCAAAGGGTCAGCAGGAGGACCTCCCAGCCCTTAGCTCTCCCTCTCCTGCTGGCTGTTTAGGAGGAGTACCCAGCATCCTTGCACTTGGGCTGAGGGTCCCCCTGCTCCCATCAGGAGGTCCTCCTGCCCTGCCCCTAGGTGTCCTCACCTCCACCTGTTGGAGACATCACCCCCACCCCAGTTCTGTCCTGTTCCACAGACTTGTCTGTACTCCATTGCAGCCGCTGTGGTTGCTGTGACTTATCCTGTGTGCAGTGGTTTGCTCCGCCTGGGGGTGAAGGAGCCACCAGGTACAGAGGTGCAGGCAGAATGTGGGAAGCAAAAGCTGGGGCAGGGCTTCTCTTGGGCATGGGTTTTGGTTTGGAACTCTGCCAAGTCAAGATGTCACCTTCCTGTGTTGCAGATCCCTCTGCCCCAGTCTCTAGCCAGGACACGAGCTTCCTGGCTGGGCTGGCCCTCACTGTCCGGCACCCACCCTACCTGAAGCTGGTCATCTCCTTCCTGTTCATCTCAGCAGCTGTTCAGGTACCTCAGGCCAGGCCGGTCCCCGCTGGCGTGGCTCCAGCCACACCGAGCTTGTGAGATTTGGTTCAGTCTCTCATCCCCTGCCTGTTAGGCTGGAGTTGCAATAGGGAGAGACCAGTGGCTGGTGCTGGGAGGACAGTGATCTAGATAAAGCTTGTGGGATCGAGGAGGATTAGAGCCCAGACACCAGGAGAAGTGCCTGGGTGGTAAAGTCCACCCAATCTTAGCTGGGCAAGGGGGAGAGTGGACCAGGAATGGTGTTTATACCTGTGTTAGGGATAAGCCTCCTTTGTTAGGGGCAGGGACTGTGCAATGGTGGCAGCAACCAGAGCTCCAGGTCCCAGAAGGGAGCCAGAATTGAGACCTAGGCCTTGCTCTTGACTTCTGAGACCCTGCCATTCCCTGTACACACCCACTTCCTGTCAACCTCCTCAGGTGGAGCAGAGCTACCTGGTCCTGTTCTGTACACATGCCTCCCGGCTACATGACCACGTGCAGAGCCTGGTGCTAACCATCCTGGTGAGGAGACCTGGGGTGACAGAGTCAAGGTTACGCGGGAGCCTGAGTTAGGGACATGTGTGGTCCTTGACGTGACGTGTGTGGCCAGAGTTCTGGAGTTCAACATTCTGGATCAGCTGTGGCCTTAGTCACCTGCATTCCAGCAGAGGGTGGAACTGGGACTAGGGCCATGAAGTCCATAGCCACCGGTTCCACCAAAAGCCAGGGCTTTGAGAACAGAACCCAGGCAGAGGCGCTGGCAGCTCGCCGGGCTGTGATGGTTCTGTCTGCTTACAGGTCTCAGCTGTACTGAGCACCCCGCTGTGGGAGTGGGTTCTTCAGCGATTTGGGAAGAGGACGTCAGCCTTCGGGATCTGTGTGAGTGAGGCAGGAGGCAAGGCTTGGAGTTGGGTGGGGGGAGGTGACCTTGGAGCCTGAGCCTCCTGGGGGGCGGCCAGGCAGATCTGTACTCGCTTGTGTCTTCAGTGCCCAGCACAGGACCAGGCATGGGGTTGCTAGTAAAGACCAGTGAGTATGTGCTGGAAAAAGAATGGAAGTGGGGGCAGGTAGAGGGAGCAGCTGCTGTGTCTGTCTCCCCAGATGATGGTGCCTTTTGCAATCCTGTTGGCTGCTGTGCCCACAGCACCTGTGGCCTACGTCGTGGCCTTTGTATCTGGCGTGAGCATTGCTGTGTCCTTGTTGCTGCCCTGGTAGGCTGGGCAAGGGGAAGGGAATGCGGGAGCTTCATGTCCTTCCTCATGGGTCTGCCCTCCTCCAACCCTTTGTCCTAGGCCCGTGCCCAGCCTGTGCTGGGAAGCCCCCTCCTCCCACCAGCTCTGTGCTGGGAACCCTCCTAAAGGAGCACCAGACAGCAGGAATGGGCAGCGGGGGTGTGGGGTGTGGAGGTGGGGATGGCATACAAGCACACACATCGGCTGGCTCTCTGTGGGCCAGTCCTGGTCCTGGGCAGCGAGGACCCTGGGATGACTCTGACGGCCTCTGTCTCCGGAGAGCTTGCAGGCTGTGGCTGTCAAGGGGATAAAAGGATAACCCTGCAGCCCCTCCCCAGGTCCATGCTTCCAGATGTGGTAGATGACTTCCAGCTGCAGCACCAGCACGGCATGGAGACCATCTTCTACTCATCCTATGTCTTCTTCACCAAGCTGTCGGGCGCAGGTGCCCTGGGCATCTCCACGCTCAGTCTGGAGTGAGTTCCAGAGTTGGGCTGTGACAGAGGCACTAAGACCAGCGGGGTGGGAAAGGGGCAGAGTCCCCCACCCCAGCCAGCCAGGGGACCCAGCTCTGCTCTTTGGAGAGTGTGACTGAAAAGCCTTTCTTGAGGGTCATACCCCTTCTGGAGCCTCAGCTCCCGCGTTCTCAGTTCTCTCCGAGCTCCCCCTGATCAGCCTGTTCCTGCAACACGCCCTCCCACCATGGTTAGGCTGATCTGGCCAAGAAAGGAAACCAAGCTTCAGGGTGGTGTGGAGGTGGGGATCTGGGGGCCAGGAGGCCAGGCTTGGAGGGTCTGAGCTGGATGCGTGGGACTGTTTCTCCAGGTTTGCGGGCTATGAGGCAGGAGCCTGCAAGCAGGCAGAGCAGGTGGTGGTGACCCTGAAGGTCCTCATCGGAGCCGTGCCCACCTGCATGATCCTCACTGGTCTTTGCATCCTCATGGTTGGTCCCGCTCTTAAGGTGCCAAGCCAGGACACCTCTCGCCGGCTGAGCCTTCGGAGGTGGGCACCCCATGCACACGGGTACACACAGTAGGTCTACCAACAGCCAGGGAGGCACCTGGATGTGTGCTGATGTAAAGCCAAGCCGTCTCAGTCTCCCGGTGGCATCTACAGCACTGAACAGCTCTGCCCTGGGAGACGCTTTCCTCAGCTCCAGTGATGCCATCTTCTCAGTTTTCTTCTGCCACCCTGGTCACTGCTGCTCAGCCTCCCTCCTTCCGTGCCAGTCGGGTGGTGTGTGGGAGGCTCCATCGTTCATTCCTTTCGCGTCCATAATCCCAGGCACCTCATCTACCTGCTTGACCTCGAGCACCGAATGAGCTCGCTGCTCCTATAGCTATTCTCCTCCCCCCCACCCCGCATACTTCCTTCAAGTTCCGGATCTGCACACCTGGCTCTCCCTTGGACATCTCCACCTGATGTCCCACAACCATGGCAGGCAGTCTCAATGAGCCCCAAGTGGAATTCGTCTTCTTGTCCCAGTCGGCTTCACCATCCTCAACCTGGGAGCCAAATCGGGGACCTTCTTCCACTCTTCCCCCCACGGGCTGTGCTGAGAGCTCTCTGAACCTTGCCCTCCCCCTTCCAGGGCACTGATCCACCGCAGGGACACCTGCTCACTGTCTGGCTTTCCCAGTAGACGGTGGGCCCTTGCAGGCTGGAGCTGTGTTTATTCACTGTTATGTGTTAAGAGCCCAGCACAGCACCCACGCTGAGCAGGTTGCTGCAGTGTCAACATGGCCCTGCCACCTTTCACCGGCACGTGTTGCTTCTGCAGATGCTCATGCACTTACAAAATCCGAGCACGCACACAGAGAGGACCATGCAGGGCAGGCAGGAGATGCCTCGTCCTTGGTCCCTCGCTGCTCAGGGTGGCTGGTCTCAGACTCCACACTGCGTTGCACTCAGGGAGACGGGTGGGGAGCTGCTTGATGGGACCGGGAGACAGGCTTGTGGCTTTATTCACAGGGTGGTGAAGGGGAGGAGCTGCTAGGACAAGGAAAGCCACTGACACTTCCACGGGGGTCTGTGCAGGACGGAGAGCACACCCTCCCTCATCCTCTTTGGCTTCTTTCCTTTCCCACAGGAGGACCAGCTACAGCCTCGCGTGAAGTTTGAGGCTTCTGGGAGCCGGAACAGCGGGGACTGAGGGCTTGAAGCCCCCCTTTCTTCTCAGCCGTTAGAACCCCCACTTCGCAGTTTACACATGACTTTTCCCTGGGATATGGAGTCTTCAGTGACCTCTCCAGAAGGGACTGGCCTGGGTTCCACCTGTCATTTCTTACCTGTTGACCACAGACCATTTCAGATAAACCTGTGCCCGCCTACCCAGCTCCGGGCAACGTTTGCCCTGGAGAGCATCCCACAGCAGCTTGTCCTGAAGGAAGGAGCCCCGCTGGTCTGGCCTGCAGGCTCCCGCGGGAACACCTGGCCAGCAACCTGCCAGGACACCCAGGCAGACCTCTTGTTCCTCCTGATGCTCCAGTGGACAGAGAGAGACAGACAGACTCCACACGAATGGGCAGAGCGGGGACAAAGGGACATGCTGGGGATTTCAGTTGGGAGACGCTCGGACAGATGCAGTGAGGCCAGCAGACCTGGCGAGAGCAGACGGGGACGGCCGTGGGGTGAGCGTCTGTCAAGCCTTCCCCTCTGTCAGAGGCCGATGACACTGTTTCCAGAGTGGACACAGACTGATATGGAGCCACCAAAGATCGGTCATTTTTATGAACAGCAGTTATTTTTGTGGAAATATTTTTCTGAACTTTTATCTTATAAAAAGACAGAAACCACAGTTTTCTAGAGGCCATATCTTTGGGGAACAAAGACCCACTGAGGTTTATTTTTTTCAAAAGACACATTAAAGGGTTTATCTTCTATTGAGTCGGTAAAATGTGATGATACCAGCCCTCGTCATCCAGCCTCCTGGGAAACTCGCGCCCCAAAGAGGGGAAGGGAGGGTGCCCGACGTCACTGAGCCTGGCTGTGTCCCCTCAGCCATGTACCCCTGACTCTGCGTTTCCTCAGACCGGAGATGCCACGTGGGGGCAGGCTCCCTCTTTCCTGTGGAAGAGACAAAAGTTGAGACCCTGGGGTAGCCCAGGGAGCAGGACATGGCTCTGTGGGCTGGACTTATGGAGGGGCTGGGAACCCGTGGGAACCCTGATGCCCCAGCAACTCCTCCAGAAGTCCAGGCACCTAGGGGGGAGACCAGGAGGAGCAGACTCGCCCCTGCATGTCTTCCCAGCCCCCAGCTCTGTCCCCTCCATGGGGTCAGCTCTCCTGAGCTCACGGCGCAGGGCCAGGCTCCCTTCCACTTCTTCTTTGGGCCTTTGGCAACCTCTTCAGTGCGAGACCCCTAAAGCCACCAGAGCCCAGACCGCAGTGAGCAGATGCTCCTCAGAGATGAAGCCTCTTGCTTCCTCCACAAACACTGTGGCCTGAGCGGAACTGACCTCAGTGAGAGTTCAGACTGGGACTGGTCTTTCGAGGCCTGAACTCTCAGGCCCTTGTGACACTGCCATGGGTATCTGATCCTTAAGGTCACAGGGCACCAGAGAAAGAGCTGGGCTCGGCTTCCCTGCATTGCCCTCTGATTCAGGAAGGGACCCACAGGAAGCTCCGCCCACCCCCTGGTGTACATGGGTACACACAGGCAGACACACACACAGAGCAGTTTCATAACACTGGAAGATCACGCTGGCCATGTGGAGACCACACCCGATAAGACACATGCTTTGGAAACCTGGGCAATGCAGGTAGAATCAAATGTTTGTGCCAGATTTCACGTCACCTACATTTCCCAGGGGTGCAGTCTCACGGAGCAGAGCTATCTGCCCAGTACAGACAGCAGCAGGGGGCCAGCTCTGGGGGTCAGGGGTTGGATCTCAGGGATAGGGGCCATCACGGGCTGCCTAAAAGGTATCCCACCATTTCTTCCTCACAGCCACTCTCGGAAGCAGGTACATTCATCCTCATCTTCACCTGAGGAAACAGGCTTAGAAAGCCTAAGGTCAGTTGGTGGTGAAAATGGTCTTGAACCTAAGTCAGCCTGACTCCAAAGCTTGTGGAGAGAGCCAGCGCTTGAAACATTTGTTTAGGGAAGGGTGGACCCTGGACCTTGGTATCACCTCTTCTGAAGCAAATCGCCAGCATCCCCACCTCCACCTCTGCTCCAGTCCCACTCTAATTCCCACCACTCTGCTCTCGGACCTTCGGCTCGCTGGCCCGCTGAGCTCCCATGTCCTCGTCCCTCTCTGACCCCCTCAGAGCCTGTCCTCTTGTTTCAGAGGAAGGGACCTCTCCTGGCCCCTTTCCTCGCCACTACTTTTTCCTTCTCCACCTACATCCAGATCATGCCTTTCACTTGCTCAAAACTCTCAATTGCCAGCAACCCTGCCTCTGACTTAGATCCCACCTACTGAGTCCCTACAATGGCCTCGAGATCAGGTGGCTGCTAGACCATCACCTCCTCCGAGAAGCCTTTCTTGCTTCTCTGTTGGTTCACGACCAAACCCTGCTCCTCCGCCAGCTCTCTACGCTCTGCCTGCTGTTTGCAGTTGGTAGGATCTCCCTCCACATACAAGTATGCTTGTCAGTGGTTTATTGCTTGACCATTAAAATGTAAGGTCTATGAGGGCGGGGACTGTGACTTTCACTGTTCAATGCGAATTGTTTGCTGAATGAACCGGTGTTCATATTGCCCTCATCCTAAAACAAAACAGCCTTTCCTGTTCCCTTAGCTTTCTCCTCTCCAAATAATCTGCATTACTCCCCCCGTAAGCCCCAGCCACCACAGCGCGGTCTCCTCGTCCTCACCTGCCATTCCCTCGTTACCCATTACAGGTACACCTGTCTCTGCCTTTCCACCGAGGAGACAGTGCGGCCTGGCAGGGGGACTCCAGCATTGGAGAAAGGGGGATAGGAGTCTGTATGCTGCTTTCATCTTTTACATGTGTGATTAGTTCACTTAGTGAATAAATCTGAGTCTCCATGTTTTTTTTTTGTTTTGGAACAAATATTTACACTATCACCTACACCTCAGGATGGCGGTAAGAATTAAATGAGATAGTACCTAACCGAGGAAACCTTCAACGACTGATACTCATTAATGCTGACCTCTCCTTTCAACTCTTTTCAAAACTCCTCCCTTGGCTTGCATGACCACCCCACCCCACCCCACCCCACCCCCGTCTTTTTTTTTTTATCTTTATTGTTGAATGTATTACAGATGTTCCTCATTTTTTCTCTCCTCCCCACTCCCACCCCCCTCTGCCTTCCCCCACACTGATGTCTGTGTCCATTGGTTTTGCATATACGCATATAAGTTCTTTGGTTAATTTCTTCCTATCCCCCAAACCCCCTTCCCTTTGAGGTCTGTCAGTCTAGCAACCAATTTGTACTTCTTAATCCCTTCATCTTTTTCACCCATTCCTCCATCCCCCCTCCCTTCTAGCAACCAACAAAATGTTCTCTGTATCTATGAGAATGTTTCTGTTCTGCCTGTTCATTTTGTTTGTAGATTCAATTGTTGATAGCTATGTATTCATTGCCATTTTGTTTGTTCATATTTTTTATCTTTTTGTTCAAGAAGACCCTTCAACATTTCATATAATAATGGTTTGGTGGTGATGAACTCCTTTAGTTTTTCCTTGTCTGGGAAAGTCTTTATGTGGCCATCGATTCTAAATGACAGCTTTGCAGGATAGAGTAATCTTGGTTGTAGGTTCTTGCTTTTCATCACTCTGAATATTTCTTGCCACTCCCTTCTGGTCTGCAAAGTTTCTTTTGAGAAATCAGCTGACATCTAATGGGAACTCCCTTGTAGGTAACTAACTGCTTTTCTCTTGCTGCTTTTAAGATTGTCTTGAACCTTTTGCATTTTGATGATGATGTATCTTGGTGTGGGCCTCTTGGGGTTCATCTTGTTGGGGACTCTCTGTGCTTCCTGGATGTATATGTCTGTTTCTTTCACCAAGTTAGGGAAGTTTTCTGCCATTATTGTTTCAAATAGGTTTTTGATTTCTTGTTCTCTCTCTTCTCCTTCTGGCACCCCCAAGATGCAAATGTTGGCACGCTTGAAGTTGTCCCAGAGGCTCCTTACACTATCCTCATTTTTTTGGATTCTTTTTTCTTTTTGCTGTTCTGATTGGGTGTTTTTTGCTTCCTTATATTCCAAATTGATGGTTTGTTTCTTGGCTTTACCTACTCTACTATTGAATCTGTGTAAATTATTCTTTATTTCAGTTAGTGCCTCCTTCATTTCTGACTGGTCCTTTTTTATGCTCGTGAGGCCCTCACTAAGTTCACTGAGGTCTCACTAAGTTCACTGAGCATCCTTATAAGCAGTGTTTTGAACTCAGCCTCTGTTAGGTTGCTTATCTCGATTTCACTTAGTTCTTTCCCTGGGGTTTTGTTCTGTTCTTTCACCTAGGACCTGTTCCTTTGTCTCCTCATTTTGGCTGCCTCCCTGTGTTTGTTTCAGTGTCTTACTTAACGAGAGGTATGGGGCTAGCTGAGACCAGATGCTGCTCGTTTGAAAGAATTTAGGAAAGCCTGAAGCAGGATCCAAGACAGGCCAATCCTATGGTTAAGCAACTGGCACCAGCTTGGGTGGGTCTGAAAGTTGGGTGGGGCGGGGCCTCAGGGAGTCACCAGGGCGGGGCTACCAGTGTGAGCCAGGTCGCTGGAGTCCCAGATATGGTGTCTATCTGCCACCCCAGGGAAGGGCTCACCAAAGGAACAAAGACTTCTGACAGCACGTCTGTCCCGGAGAAAGCCCCCTCTCCAGCCCTCGCTCCGGTGCCAAACAGCTCAGTTCTTCCCTGTATGTCTCTGGTGCCCCTCGAGCTGCCTCCCCTCCAAGCTTAGAGGGAGAGAGTCCGATAAGTCCCTGCGTGGGCCCTTTAAGGAGCTGCCTGGGGCTCCAGCCACCTCAGCCTCCCTGAGCCTCAGTACCCACTGATTTTTCCAGCCAGAAGTGATGGGGATTCTCTTCCTGGCACTGGGACCCTGAGCGGGGTGCCTGGTGTGGGACGGGGACCCCTCA